TACATGACAAAGTTTCATCAGAGAAATGTGAACGAGGCCCTGGGGAGTCTGAAGGCTGGGTGAGATCCTTTAGGTCTTAAGTCAGTCTTCCAGAGTTTTTAAACACACAAGCAACACAAGGGCACAGTGTAGTTAGTGCTCATTCCTCCCCCCGAGTCTGGATGAGCGTTCTCTGAGTTTCTCCGACAACCACAACATGCTCCTAGTATGAACCTGCTGAATGAGTGAACGTTGTGTAGTCGGACAGACGGACCACTCTCTGTCACCACAGAGAGTGGAATGAATGAATGATGACTTCAGTGACGCACTTTGACCAGTCATACCATTATCTTTATCAGAGAGATTTTAGGTGTCAACTGAAGAATTTAAATGTCAATATTTTATACTAAGCACATATAAGTAATAAATAATAAAATAGTAACCTTGAAAATAAATATTGCTTCACGCACAATCTACACATTGTATGAACACAATTTTGAATATGCTTTGGCACTATGGCCATTATCTTTCTCTCCAGCACAGTTTCATCAACTGTTCCTCTTTGCTCATTTGTGTGCCAGCTCCAGCCTTTGGCAAAATCAAGCGGAAGTCTATTACACTTATCAGCAGCTTAGCACTATTTAGCAGGTTAATTGGAATGGTAAAGCTGCATCGCCTGGCTTCTAAATGCTAATTAATTGTAACTTATATTTTCCCCGGTCTTTTTTCATCAGCAAACTAGACGCCTTCATTTATGACGCTGCTGTCCTGAACTACATGGCTGGAAGGGACGAGGGCTGCAAACTGGTGACCATCGGCAGTGGTTACATTTTTGCCACTACTGGATATGGCATTGCTATACAGAAGGAGTCGCTCTGGAAAAGAGCCATAGACTTGGCCATTTTGGGGCTTTTTGGAGATGGTAAGAAGCAGGCTACCTTTTATTGTTTTGTGATATCCTGTACACAATGCTTTTATTGGGGCGTTAAAAAGTAATTCTTAGGGGTTTTTTTCACTTCTATTTAGGGCAAGTAGTTGTCTAAACAAATATTTCCTGTCTGTAGGGATTTTCACTTTTGTTAGTAATTTTGTGACTTAATATACTCTTTTAGAGTTGTAATGTGATTTTCAGCTGTGCTGGAGGCCATTATTTTTGATAGAGTTTAATGGGAGAATGTCCGAGCTCTCCAGGGCTTGTACTTCTGAAATGCACTCGTTTCTTGTCAGCTTGAGTAGCAACATTAATGAATCTGAGACTGAGCAGCCAGCAAGATGTAATGAGCTCGAGCCATCTAACCAAAAACTATTTTACTTGACATTGACGTCTAGTCTCTTTTCAAAACCTCACTTCATAATGTCCCAATTTAATATACCACGGAAGTTTGGTGAGTCTGTTGTAGCTAGTTGGGTTTGATACAGTGTGTTGTGAACAGAACCAAGGGCCCTCAGGGGCCCACTAGTGCGTCCCAGATAGGGGTGCCAGCATAGCTCCTGGTGCATTTTGACTCTGTGTGAATATGGGTCAGCCTCTGGCACATACTGTGTGAAACAGACAGCAATGTTGCACCACTTTATTAATCAGCTTACCATAACACATTTCTGATCACAAATATTGATTGCTACAGAGAAAGTTTTCAAAAAAAAAGATTTAGAAATATGTATGCTAGTTTATGCCACTGATAAAGTGACACTTTTATTTGATCTGGCCTGTCACAAATAAATAATTGTACATTAACGGGTCTTTGAACTCACTGAAGTATCATATTGCAGAGAAAATGACCAAATGAGGGGTTTATACAATACATTTGTTCCGCAGTGGCAGGATAACCAATGTACAGTATTAACAAAGAAATGTATAATCTGTTATTTCCATTATTGATGAGTTGATGTAGTGGATGCAGTAAAAGTACAATACTAAACATTGTTTCTGTCACTATAAAAGTCTTATTATCTCTTCTGAGGCTCAGCAACAGCAAGGACCAATGCAGGCGTTCAGCTTGCCCCGTCTGTCCTTTCAGCATTTCAATGTCACTTGGCCACGCCTCATTGTCCTGTTGGCCTAGAAAGTCCACACTCTCAGCCAAAGTGTGGCTAGAATTACTTAACAAAGCCCTAATTATTGAGTTCAGCTCTTGTGTTTGCTTAAGCAGCTTTCTTTAGTTAGTGTACTTTGGTGCATGAGCTCACCTTGGAGTTTTCTAGCACAACTGCCGAGAGTATAAACTGTTGAACACAACAGTTGTCGGCGAGATTCCAGTTGGTAGATTGTTGCCCTGTTTGTACAAAAGCATTGTTGCCACACCAGGCGGATGTGCAACGACAGCAGCTTGACTGGATGATTAATTAAGCAGCGTCTGTCCCGCACCAGTCGGCTTTGATAGAGAGCGGCCCGTGATGAAACTGAAGGTGACCCACAAAGAGCAGAGAGGCAGGGACCAGCCTGCTGCACCGCTCCTCACACATTACTTATGTTGCACTCCTTGGCACAGTCTGCAAGTGAAATGGCAGCAAATAGGATCGATGTAATTAACATTTGACCAGTGGCATGTGTTTCTCTCCCTGTTCTGCTTCTCCTCTACAAATATCACCCCGTTCCTTTCCGTCTAAGTGTCATCTCCTCTCTCCTCGTCTTGCGTCATTCTCTCTGTGTCCTCCATTTCCATCTTTTATTACATCATCTTCTTAAGTTAACAGTGTTCTTCTCACTCCCCGCATGCTTTGCTTTTTAGCAGCTTCTTCTTGCTCCCATTGGTCGGTTGCTTTCTTTCAGCTATATGTGTTCTCTCAAAGGATTGCCTCGCGAAAAGTGCAAAACAATATGTGCGTTTGAAAATTTGTCAACCACAATTGGATTCAGCAACATTGGTGGATTGAGTTACATAAGATATAGGCAGTCAGTTGTCGTGTTTTTGTAGCTATATTTAATTAAACCCCTGCTGATCCAAATGCAGCTGCACACCTTACCAGCCAGAGTCCATCCATCTCATAAGCACTATTCTCAAATAGTCACCAGTCATTTTATGTATCAAATATAAAGTCATTCTCACATTGGCCTCATCCCATCTTTTTGTAGCATCGCCGAGTTTTATTTTACTATATTTCTATCAATCAAATACAATGATCCTTCCCTTCTCCACAAGCAATGACTGGGGTGACATCACACCTTATAAATCTGTCGTACTATTCATTGAACCTCTGTCATTAACCTGTGTCTTTAAGTCTCCATTTATGAGTTGTGTTTGTCATCTCTGTATATCGCCATCTTGTCAATGCTAATGCTAATGTTGCACGCTCTTTAGGTGAGATGGAGGAGCTGGAATCCTTGTGGCTGACTGGAATCTGCCACCACGAGAAGAATGAGGTTATGTCAAGCCAGCTGGACATAGACAACATGGCCGGAGTCTTCTACATGTTGGGCGCTGCTATGGCCCTGTCTCTGATCACATTCATCTGCGAGCACTGGTTCTACTGGCAGCTACGTTTCTGCTTCATGGGCGTATGTTCTGGACAGCCTGGATTTGTCTTCTCCATAAGCAGGGTGAGAGTCGCTTACTCTTTTCATTGTGCTATCATTTATCACCAGTTTTTGTAACACACACTCTTCTGACTGACCTTCACTAAGCTTCACTGCTTCACTACGTTACATGAATAATTGAAGGGGACGTAAGTGATACGCACTCTTAATGGTCTAATAAAGTCATTACAATTTCAATCCAACTTTGCCAGAATCTTATCCCAACCCTAACCACCTGTAACTCCAAAGCACGGGTTACTGATGCAATCCACCTGCTGGTTTAACTAGAAACAGTACAAACTCTGTGTATGCTTTCATTTAAACAACTGTGGAGCTTTTTTTTGGGTTGGGAAATTTGTTATTAAACAGAATAAATTTCACATAAAAAACTGGCAACACAAATGAGGGATTCCTTCTTTTCTCTGAATGGATAATTAGCTTGAAACTCAAGTTTATACCATAGACTGTAAATTGTATTTTGATTTTTCCTATTATCTCGGACAACAAACAATGTAGATATATGAAATAAGAAATATTAATAAATATGGTTCCTTTAAAGCTAGAGTACCTAACTGTATTTTGTTGCATTAATACATGAAAAAGAAAAGTCTGGGTTAAGTAACACAATACTGTCTTCGTCTTAATAGAAAACGAGTCGTCTTTTACATACTGAGAAGCTGATTGGCTGAGTGAGGGCTCTCCTATGGACCAATTAATATGTTTCATATAATAGCATTTCTTGTGTTCTAGTTATTTGATTCTCAAATCTACTGTTGGCAAAATGGACAATTTTGTAAAGTACTCCAAGACCAGAGCTTTTGTGAATTAGGGCTGTACAAGTATTATTTGAATTGAATGTCTGAAAACGTTGATCTGAAGATGTGACAGAGCCCAAAAAGATTTGTATGTGAAAGAAAAAAAATGTTTAGAGAGCAAGGAACTATTTACCAGGATTTTATTACATAATTTTTTGTAGTTTCAAAGTTAGTCCAGCATTAATTGTTGACGTTTTAATCTACATTGTTCTTGAGTCCACTGTCATAATACTTCACAGACGACTCCACTCCAATAAAGAAGCTGCCACCTTTTGCCTGGACACTTAACCAAGCTTTCGTTGTGTCTGGAGGTTAATATTTACAAAATGCTCAGCCAAAATCAATATTTCACTCCACAAAAGCAAAGCGCAGAATCGGAGAGGGTAGATTACTCGATCCCGGGAGACCAAAGTCACCCCAGAGGTATTTGATTTGCATTCCAATTGTTTTGACATGGCTCCGGTGTAATTCTCTGTGGCTCTGAAGGTGAACCGCTGCAGGCCAGAGCACATGGCTAATTTACGGCGCGGAGTCACACCGCACGCTCCCTTCCATAACACTTGAAATGCTGCCTCCACCCCCAGTGCGAGCCAGAGCAAGGCTACAGCGCAAGACTCCAGCTCACACTCTCCCCATCTACACCGCAATATTCCGCTTCATTGCCCAACTTTGATTATTTTTCATGGTGTTAATTTTATGCCACCTTGTTTACGCCTTCCTCGCCTCATTTGTGTGGAAGACGCATCAAATATCGGTTGGTGGAATGTCAGTTGACTTCTCATTTCCATAGACGCATTTGAGTTTTGTGTATTTTTGATTATTACATCATTAGAATGTGCACGCGCCTGATTCTGCCGGTAATTATGCGTTGTCCAACATGCAGCAATTGCTCTCATTTAATTAAAGAAAAAATAAGTTGCATTATTTCCGGTAATTAAAAATGATAATGAGACTATTTACTTTGTCATTTCATGTTTCAGATTTGAAGTAGAAAATAGTTTACAGTATGACGGGTAAATAATTCTATTGATCTGCCCTATTGCTCAGTTATCACCACTACTCTACCAATTGTTTTTTTATTTTCCAAATTGGAAAATGAACAGCTGCAAACACAGCCATGTCATTGTAAATCTCTGTGTGGAGTGAGAGACAAATGCCTACAACAATTGTGAAACGCTTTGTGACTCCGGTCTGTGAAAGGTGCTATATAAATGAAGATTACTTTTGTTTTTGTGAGTGTGATGTCATAGTGGCACAATGCCATTATGTTATTACAAGACAAAGAGCAGGAGCATTGATGTATTGTATCCTCTTCCTTATATTAGTGTGTATGGCTGTAAAAACCCTACAAGGTTGTAACATGGTTAAAATATCAATTACTTTTGTTGTTGCCTGGACCTCACCCCCATATTTCAGCATGTGAATAAAGAATGCAAAGTAGAGGCGGGTTCATTAGCGTAGTACTTTGTGATGGACCTTGTTGTTGTGTAATCCTTTGAACAGCATTGTATTCAAAACAGTTGCATTCACTTACAGTAATAGCAAAAATGTTACAATCCTTTAGATAGATAGATGGATAGATACTTTATTGAACCCCTGTAGGAGAAATTGAAGTGTCCAGTAGCAGCAGAAACACATCCATCCATACAAACAAAACAAATAAATAAATAATTCTAAAAATAGCTAACAATAGTATTAAAATGCAACAGTACTTTAGGTCACAGCAGCTGAGGTGGAGTAACTGCTTGGTTCAGACCATTTTCTCTGCTCTAGTCCAAAGTGAGATGCTGAATGCTTCATTAGCATTTTTCAAAAAGTGGATCCAATCCAGTGGATTTTCGTTCGGACCATGATTACTCTCCACTCCGGTCTGGACCAGTGCAAAACCATGAACACTGTACTGCAGCAACAGAAAAAAGCAAGAAAAATAACAATTGTAAAGCACAAAACAACTGTTTCAAAGCTACTTAGGACTTGCTGCTGTTTCCAGCGCATTAAAAAATTACGAACTCTTTTACAGGTGTAAGTTGTGGCCTTCTCCTGTGTCTGCTTCTGTTTATTCCCTCCACTGCCGCTCTGCCACCACAATTGATGCAGTTGTTTTAATTTCACAGCATAATCCATTAAACGTATCAATACAATTAATGCGTAAGCTCCCAGTATGAAAAATGGAGCATCTGTCCCGGTCGGCCTTTGTCACGTGTTGCCAGACATGGTTTGACAGTCCACTCCTCCCTCGCCAGATACCTGCTCCTACTGCCCTCCCCTGTGCGACTGCTACTTTTAATTATATTGATTTAGATCAGAACAGTAAATGTATTAGGGCATTCATCACTGCTCACTTCTGTATTGAAGGCTTTTATAGTATTCTTTGTACATCCATATTCAGCTGTTTTCTTATTCAAAAAGGATAACACTCACTCACACCAATCAGCACTTGAGAATTTGTTCTCATGTAGATGATCAGGGCATACAGTCCAATGTTTTATTTGGTTTTTTTTTTGCTGTGAGCCAATTATCAACAAATAACAAATACAGGCTTGATAGTCTCATTACGCACAAAGTGAGATTATACTTTTTGTTTCACATCGTAAGTTTGAATACAAAAGTAAAGAGACTTTGAACCGTATTCTAATTTTATATGGGAAACATTTCTGTGTAGCCCACGTGAATTTAGTCTTGTTTAGTCTGCAGTACTGCGAGAATCCTCGAGCACATGGTTCCTTCAGCTCCAATATTGTAGATAGATAGATAGATTCCCCGTAGGAGAAATTCAGGTGTCCAGCAGTGGAAGAATCATCCAGGTTTGTTGTACAGTCTGAAAGGCGAAGGAACAAAGGATCTCTTGAAACGTTCCGTTCGGCAGCGTAGTGATAGGAGCCTGTTGCTTCGATTACTCCTGTGAGCGGCCACAGTGTCGTGCAGAGGGAGTCTGGAGTTACCCAGGATGCTCTGCATTAGAGCCCTCATTTTTCTCTCCTGAACAGCTCCCACGGAGTACACACTTATCCCCATCACAGAGACACATTTCCTGATATACCTGTCGCGCCGGTTACTGTCTCTCGAGGTCAGACTGCCATCCCATCATGCAACCCCAAAGAACACGGCACTAGCTACCACAGACTGGTAAAATATGTGCAACATTGTAATACCCTATCCAGATATTATTATAGATCCATGGTGCACACCGGCTTCCCGCGCCTGTCCAAACTCTCCTCCTTCAGCGTACGTAGTACCAGGTGACCCTCCATGCGTCTCTTCTCTTCACACCGCGTTTATAAAACTATATATAATAAATTATTAATAGATCCATGGTAAAACTCAGTGCAGTGCAGCCTCTGCGCAGGGTGCTGCGTCTGAACGTGGTCTTGTTTACATGCACTTCTTCAAGCGACTGTCAAATGTCCGAGACGTTTGGAGAGATCCGGTAATTTATCAGACTAAAGTATTCTTCCCTTGGCAGTCTGGTGAATGACTCAACTCAAAGGCTTCCGTACTATATTGGACTGCGATATAGGATCTTAACGCTAGATGGCATTAAAAATTACACAGTGTACCTTTGATGTTAACTTCCACTTTCATTGAAGGAAATTAAAGGGGAGGTATGTATAATAATAATAATATTGACAATTAGGAGAGAGTTTAAGCAGAGAAAGGTTTTCTTGATAATATTTGTATTCATTATATTGTGTAACGCCTATGGGAGGGGCTTAAGAGAAGAGCTGTTTGGGCTGTACAGGGAGTCTGTGACTGGTTGTAGAGAGGGCAACGTCAGTCTACCCTGGCATGCTGAAAGGTTATGAACCAAACATATGTACGTATATGTTTTTCACACTTTTTGTAAATAGCACTTGTGGAAGTTGGGAAATAAATTTGAAAAACTTATTGTTTTGACTGGTCATTGGTTTATGTGAAGCGTTCCCACAACACATAGAGGTTTTATGACTCAGACAGAGCTATAATAACATTGAATGGTAAAGTGCAATATATTTCTAATAAAACAACCAATTATGTTACGTAAGATGTATGGAAGGAATCCCATATTTTTTTGTCTTTCAATGTTTTGTTTTCTAAACTAAAAATGTAAATAAAATAAAAATCAATTAGTTGAAAGAATAATTACCCAACTATTAACCCAACTAAAAAAATAAATAATCAAAATGACAACCCTAATCGTTACCTATATACAGTAGTAGTATAGGAACAGTCGTCTGCTTGTCAGGAATCAAAGCCTTCAGGAGGAAAGTGTTGTAACTGATCTAACTCTTTGTGCACAGATCTGTCTGTGTTTGTCATGTTGCCAAATGGCTTCTTTGTGCAGGTTTCCAATGCTGAAATGAGCTGATAAAAGCTCAGTTATTTCAAAGTAATAGTACTATGATGTTTTAAAGAATATAATCCTGTTAAATAAGAATACTAGGTAGACACTATTAGATAAAGTACAATCTGTATTCAACCGCTCCACACTCATTCTGCCACCACCATAAATTCTCTCACGCTTCAAATTTCAGTCCTATTACACATCCATCTGGTTCAGCAAAAGATGGGACCTAAAGTGAAGCCGTTTGAGCTGATTTGGCAAAGCTGCCTCCCTGAACCAATCACTGAGCAAATCTCCCGATAGTACCATAAGATGCATAATGCCACATAGGTTGGATATATTTACGCGCCTTGTAATGCGTAACAACAATGTGGTTATAACGCTCATGCGGCTCCTCTTCCTCACACTAAAGTAAAATCTCACTGTTTTGGCATAGAGCTTCTATAAAAATCACATTCAAATCAAAATGTTAGTGGTTGAAATTAACAAATATAAACAAATTATATTATATTGTTTTTATAAGGCCCTAAATCACAACAGCAGTTGTCTTGTAGGCCTTTACTAAGTGGTCCATTTACCAACAAGAGATCAGAGAATCAAACCGTTGGAACACAGGAAATGCAATACAAAATAAACACATAGGAGCCACTGGTCCATTAGGAACGGGATGAACAATGTCCATAAATGTTAATACATGAGCTTAGTGTTCTTAGACCAGGCTTGGGCAAACGTTTCCTCCTTAGGGCCATATTGGAATACAATTCTGCTGTCGGGGGCCGGACCTAATCTCAGGTGTTTTTCTCAGGCTTAATCTTTTACACATAAATGTTATAATATATATTACGGCAAAGCGAGGAGTACGACCGCGGCTCCAGAGGATTTAATAGTCTTTATACTATATATATACTGAGGAGGGCTCAGGGGCCTGATAGAAACGTGAAGAGGGCCATATCTGGTCCACGGCCCAGGGTTTTCCCACCACTGCCTTAGACCCTACTGCATCGGCAAGGAACAATTCAAAAATCCAGTGGTAAAAAGTGAGAAACCTCAGGGAGGCCAACCTTGAGAGAGGAATTCCCTCCCACAAATGGACAGGCTATAGATTTAGGACTCAAGTTGTAGAACGAGGACTGACTGCCGTTATATTTGCACGGAAAATCCATCTTGATTTGAAAACACGTAAGAGTATATGGGCTTGTTCACACTAAAGGGCACAAAAGTGTGACAAAAGGCCAAAAATTAGATTTTAATAATCAGAAGATATTTTATGTTTTTCATGTTTCCAAGCACCTCCTCTGTTCATTAGAAGTTGCTAGAACATAACTGTTTTATACATTAGACAAGTTTCCTATAGCGGCCCTATTTATTTTATCTAACGGACGTGATGATTTGACGGAATGAGCTTTGCGGAAGTTTGATAGGTATCAAATTTACACAGAGTTTTATTACACAGAGTAGAAACAAAGTGATACTTTCATTTAGTCAACCAATTAAATGTGAAACCAGACAAGATTTGTTTCTTTCTCAAGTTAAAATTTTAGAGAAAAGAGGACGGAAACCATCACGTCCGTTATACATTTTTCAAGGGTCATTTAATTAATTAATTATTTTTTATTTTTTAACGATTCCTTTTCATATCAAGTGATTTCCTGATGTTGTGTTAACCATGTAAATATTACGGGATTTCATCTGCCGCTTTTTCAGACTGAGGACATTTTATTTTCTATGTAACTGGCGTCACAGTAGAATGGTCAAAAAAGAGGCTGATTTTGTCGTTTAAAATGTCACCAAAAATATATTTGACAATCTTTCCTTTTGATTTTTTCCACACTATCTCTTTGATGTGTCTGTGTTTGAAATCTTTTTTTCCAATCTATGATAGTAATTTTAGTTTTTAAGTTATAACCTTTTAAAGTCGAGATACTTCAATTGACACTTAACTGTGAACACACTCATATAAGATTTGCCAATGAAACATGCCAGTATCTTTCCTTCTGGAGCTGAAGCATTTCTGTCCATCTTAAAGGAAAACCAAACACCTGTGCCCAGGCTTACTCTGCCCACATGAACATTTGAAAATTCTCTCTAATAAGGACCAGGGGACAAGAAGGGGGAGTTGGGCGTGGTCTGGGCTGTGATTGAAAAAAATCAGACAGTTATCATTGCTGGCTTAAAGCAATATTTTACAGAAATTCTCATTCCACCTAAGATAATTGTATAGCTAGACAGCTGAACCTAAGCAACAGAATTATCTCAGCAGTAGTTTCTGGCGACCACGAGATGTCGCCAGAATACTCCAACTCGCTACTGGGGCGTGTGTGAGACTTGGCAGCTCAAAAACGTCCATGAGCATGTGCGCTGACATACTTGCATTACCACTTCAGGCCGGTGGGAGTGCACCCAGAAGGAGAATAAACCAATGCTTTTGTATGGCATCTTCTTTCTTCTCGAAAACGGCTTTACTGGATGCTCCAAAAGTCGCCTCTTGGCCCAAAGCTACGTTCCAGATGCGTGCCAATGCTGAGGGGGAGTGTATTTTTTTGGACCACTCTCGTTTAGTGGTTGTGGACTTCAGAAGGCACTTGTTAAATGAATGGGGCTGGTGCCGGCTGACGCATGCGCAAATGCATTTTTTCACATTTTCCTGCGGGAGGGGCTTCCTCCGGCCATTTTGAAAAAGCCCCATAGAAGGCAAAAGTAATGGTACATTTCAACGGTGGAGATAGGCGTGACTACGTCCATTAATATTTACAGTCTATGTTTTATACCACAGGGGCACAGGGGGCTGTACAAAGCAACGTCATTTCGCACTCCAGAGCCAATGGCCTCTCCAGGCACAAAATTCAAATATTCAAAAATTTTCGTATTTTACATTAGTCTCAACCTGTTTGACCTGCCTGATTGTTGGAATTTATTACAGATAAAAACAATATTGGATCCTTTTGGGACAGAATCTTTTAAATCTACCAGAATGCTTTTCATTGTGTTACCGTTTGGTCACAATTGCATCGCAAAATCGCAATTCCATATTTTACCAAATCACTGACAAATGCATGACCTTGTTGATCAAACTCGTACGTTGCTCACGTGTCTTAAAATAACACATCACCAATTTTTAAGGTTAATACAAACCAAGGAAAGACAATTCAAGGACTAACTTCAAGGAACCAAGACAAATGAGGACAAGTGAATTTAGGATAGAGCAAACAAAAGCATCAAGTGTTAATTATGCAAAGTGACAGCACAGATAAGCAGCAAGGAAGAAGTGCTAAAACCAGACAGGTGGGAGTGCGCATTTGGCTTCTATATTTCACAAACGCTCTCCAGTCGTTTGTTAGTTACACTTTCCTCCATCGACAAGCTTTACTTATGCTGCTGCAGTGCTGCTGCTAAATCATCTCAAGAAATCATAATAATGAGAAAGAGCATATACCAAAATCTGAACGAGGTATAGGAATAATTGGTGCAGTGCAGATTGCCCTGCTTAATTAATTAAATAGATACATAGAAAATTTAGCAGCTGTCTGAATTTGTGCCCTTGAGCAGACTCTTCTTAGTCTAACTCAGGTTTATTGGCGGTGGGGGAGGAACATTGCCTCACATTTAGTTTCATTAAACTTGTTAAAAACTAAATCCTTTTTTTTTTTTTATCAATCCGATTCCTGGATGTCCTGTCTGTTAGTCATTATTCAGCCTCCCTCCCGCTTCCATTTTGTATCTGAATATTGTATGGTACATCATTGGACGCAAATGGAGCCGTTTGTCTTGGTGTCGGAGGATAGTGGAGATGGCCTCTCTCCGGGTCTTGCTGACTGTGCGGAGGCAGGCGTACTGCAACTGAGGTGTTTAATAACTGCCCCAGGATATTGTTGGGCTGAATTCTAATCACATTGATTCAAAGTATTGACGAGTTGGACTCAGGGGTTTTTACAGCCCCTGTGCCTTTATCCATCATGCTGGCCCTCTGCGGTATCTCCTCAAAACTGCTGCTGTCGGCTCAGTGGGCCACGCTTCCTTCACTAAATACATCGCACACTTTTTTGCTGTATTACACGCTCACTATTGGTTTTACAGGACATTGACAGCATATCCCATGTCCCCGCTTCACACTTGTACTGGTCATGATTTGTTATTTTTCTGTTTCTTTTTTGGTAGGCTGCCACCATAAATTATTACTGATATTTTATATAAACCTTGTTTTGTTTTGCAGGATATGTCATCCTACACCAAAATGCACATGGTCTCTTTTGTTCATACAAATACAGTATGATGGAAAATCATGTACTCTATCAATATAAGTCTTTGTTCCCTTTAAAAACGAATTGTTTGGTTTTATTCATAAAGTCTAATCCATCATTCTGTCTGTTTTGTATCTCTGTAGGGAATCTACAGTTGTATACATGGAGTGCAGATCGAGGAGAAGAGCAGCTCAGCCTTGAACTCACCATCCGCCACGATGAACAACACCCATTCTAACATCATGCGCCTCTTACGCACGGCCAAGAACATGGCATCGCTGTCCGGGGTGAACGGCTCTCCTCACAGTGCGCTGGACTTCATCCGCAGAGATTCTTCAGTCTATGACATCTCTGAGCACCGCCGCAGTCTGGCTGGACACTCGGACTGTAAGCCTCCCTATCTCCCAGAGGACAACATGTTTAGTGACTACATAAGCGAAGTGGAGAGGACGTTTGGTAATCTCCACATGAAAGACAGCAACTTGTACCAGGATCACTATATGCATCACCACGGCTCTTCTCTCGGCCTCAGTGGACCGCCTCCTGGCAGACCCCTCAGTCTGGGCAGCGCTAGCTCCCTGGAGGGGGGCATGTTCGACTGTGACAGCCTCGGAGGAGGCGTTGCCCCCATCTTCACCACACAGCCCTGTTCAGCTCTCACCCACAGAAACATGAGCAAGTTTGACCTGCTCTCACAGACTCCACCCTCTGGCCAGAGCTTTAAGAGCGCCCTGCCTGATGTTTATGGCAAGTTCTCTTTTAAAGGGGGGGCTTCCAGCTCCACATACATCCCGGGACATAGCTACTGTGGTGGGAGAGGTGAGGAGGATGGCAATATTCGCTCTGATGGATCGGATATTTCTACGCATACTGTTACATATGGAAACCTAGAGGGGAATGCCAAGAAGCGCAAACAATACCGTGATAGTCTGAAAAAGAGGCCTGCATCCGCTAAATCCAGACGGGAGCTGGATGAGATTGAGCTTGGATACAGGAGGAAGCCCTACCACATAAGCCACCATCACTACCATGGACACAGGTCCACCTCACCACCACCTGTCCTGCCCTCCGAGCGCAAAAGAGGAGGTAACGACGGTAACTCCTACCTCTTCAGGGAGAAAGAGAGCGTTCGAGACTTTTACCTGGACCAGTTCAGGCCTAAAGAGGGTGTCCCTCAGTGGGAACATGTGGACCTAACTGAGGGTCCTGCAAACAGAGACGGAGGAGTCCCCACCTGCACCTCGTTGGTTCCAGTGGATGACTTCCTCAAAAATAAGCCTAAAAAGCCTGACCCAAAGGCCAGTGGCTCTGGTCTGGCTGGGGGAGAGTGGGAGTGCAGAAACTGTAGAGCAGGAGGGGGAAAACAGATGTACAGTGGTATGAGTTGTGGCTCCTCAGCAGGAGGCAGTCGGCCCAGCTCCGCGACGTGCATGAGATGTGAGGGCTGCAAAAAGACTGGGACACTGTATGATATCAGTGAGGACAATAATCACATGTTGGAACAAATGGGGGGAGGGCAGGGTGGGGTGGCTCCTCAGTCCCAGGTCCAGCAGAGAAGAAAAGGTGGTTTTGGGAAGCCCCTTCGACGGCAGCATTCTTATGACACATTTGTGGACCTGCAGAAAGACGACACTGAGATGATGAGCAGCCTGATTGGAGGTATGGGTGAAGGGGGAGGCATGGGCGGGCCAGGCATGGGAGGCATGTTACCCCCGCCCAGAAGTGTTAGTTTGAAAGAGAAGGAACGCTACATGGAGGGTGGAAGTCCTTTTGCACACATATTTGATCGCCATGGAGGATCTGAGCGAGACCGAGACAGAGACCCTCTATTTTACGGAGAGGATCGAGGGAAAGGGCCTGGCTCTCCGTTCGGTCTGTTTAGAGGGAATGAAGGACCTCATCGTCGCTCCATCGGGGAAAGAGACATGAGGGACAAAGGACTCATGGAGGGAGGATTCTCCTTATCCAAATCTCTGTACCCTGATCGGGTCAACCAAAACCCCTTTATACCTACTTTTGGTGATGACCAGTGTTTAATGCATGGTGCCAAACAATACTATATGAAAAAGCAACAGCAGCAACAAGTTGCCAAAAGCAGTCGAAGTGACTTCAGGAGCCAGATGAGCACCACATCTTATGTACAAGGCTCTTCTCCAACTGGAGTTATGTCAAGTGTTGCCCCTCGCTTCCCCAAAGAACTCAGCCTGGGGGGCATGAACCATCACGGCTCCATGCTGGGAGTTGGCCCTCCTAGACCCTTCAATGGAAGCAATGGCCATGTGTATGAGAAACTATCCAGCATTGAGTCGGACGTGTGAGATAGCGTTTGAGAAGAAGCGAAGGGTGGAGAAATAGACTCATTAGTGTTAGATCAGGGATGATTCCACTAGCCGCTGTCCACAGCCCCAAATATCAGTGGCATAAGAACAGAGGGTCAGGACTTTGGTGGAGATTTCAAAAATCAGGACACCCCAAGGAGCTGTGGGACTATTGCTTTTTCATTCATGGCCAAAGCTAGTAAACTTTATCCACAGTCATTCTGCATCACCTCAGCTCCACAAGTCCTCATACTCAATCATTATCAGGAAGAAGCGACAGCTCATCTCAGCTCAACACTGAAGGTGTGACGATAGTGAGATGTGAGTGCTGTCACAGGGAGAGACTGAACAGCCCATCTGCCCTGTGTACCAAGAGGAGCTGCTGTGACTCAAGAGCTTGGCCGGTCCACTCCTCACCACTCCCCCAGACAGCCATCACCACTTTCCACTGGGAAATACAATCATGAATGATAATAAGATCTTTGTTTAGAAAACAGGGTATACGAACAACAATAATTGTGAATAAGATGTTAGTATTGATACAAATGAGCTCATTAGTCTTATATTTTTTCTGTTTGGTTGCACATATCTCACTGTTTTGTTCTTTGTGACGTGTGCGCACCCTTACTGCCACCTGATTGGTTGGCCTTAGTTTGAACTTGTTTTCAGTGGAAATTTACACTTTACATTCATTAACTTCTTTTGCTTCTTAAAACGTGATTTTAATGTAGATCCTAGATCTTATTACGTTTGTACACACTCTAAATGAAATGCACACTGGACACACTTTTGTGACTTGTTTTACTGTGAAATGTTTGGTCTGAAGCTGAAGATACTGGAGGGAGGATGTGCCTTAATGGTCTCCGTGGATGTCTCCTCCAGGTCATATACGGTCCAGCAGAACAGAGCAGACCTCCTGTTTGCTCTATGTTTATGAACCTAAACAGCAGTAAAGATTTACTGCACACTCAAGAAGCTAAAGGAGGCACTGCTGCTGCTGCTGCTGCCACAAAGCTGTTTTATAACTTGGTCAAATAATTTCATATTGTATTCATAGTGTGGGCAGCCTTTTATGACGCTGTCACAGATAGTTATATTCAGGATGTCCTACTGTCACAGAAAGACTTGACTGCATGGCAGCCTACCGACCACCTCTTTATTCAGGTTACATGACTCCAGTCACCAGGCACTTACTTTGTTAGGCCTCTTACAAGTACCTGGCAGAAGGCTTCACTATTCACTCATGAAAGCAGTCTAAATTATATTCTTTGTTTAATAATCTGTGATTAATATGCAGCGTGGTTTTTGTAGGCAGGAAGCTACCAATGTGTAGGAGATGACGATGCTGATATAAGTGTGAGCTGAGGAGGATGTCTTTTGCCGATGGGATGTAATACTGACTCTGCTGGTAGCGAGGCGGCCATTTTGTTAAAAGCTTTGTGACTGATGGAGTAAAGCCTATCAGACTGGAGAGGCCTCGCTTATTGCACAGGACCACTACTTGAAGTAGGTTCAGGCACTCTATAGACATGCCTTATCATCCTGACCCCCACCCCTCCTGTCCCCAAAGCTTCTGAGGATGACTCATGGTATTACGGACAGACTGAAGAAGCCTCTATTAGGTGTTTAAAAGTGTTGATCTTTGATTAGCTGCCAATGTCATGAGTTCAAGGGCTGCTTCTGCAGGAGTGCCAAGTGAGATTGGAGCAACTGGAATGTGCACATGTCTATCACATACCCCCATCTAAGTGCACTGTACATTAGGTGTACGCTGTGCGTGTGGAGGAAGCAAATCACCACAGATAACGCTGCTTTTCCCCTTGCTAACCTGCTGATAACTATTCATACATTCAACAGCCTCTGCGGCTCTTGCTCCACAGATAACACTGTCAAAGTGAGACTGATGGAGTTAGCCTTATATCAAAGCAGGCCAGCCCTCTCCAACACCTCCCCCCAAACCCTTAGATTGGGATCTGTGGAGTTTTTATAAAGTGGAAGTTCAGGTGGCCATTATCAGACTGGGCTGAAGGGCAAGAACAAGGAAATAAGTAGGAGATGGCATCAATCAGTGTTATTTAGTATGTGAAATCTTTACTTTGTAAATAATCTATTCAACTCTTTTCACTTTGTACAGTAAACTGACAGACAGGATGTACCTTTCAATATGTTTTACGCTTTAAGATATAAATAAAATACAAAAAACAAAAAAATGAGAACAAAAATAAGGAAAATATAGTTAAGACACAAACATTACTAATCATAAGTGATATAATTGATTTTTTAAATTTCCTTTGGATTTCATGTTTCCTTAATTACGTATAGTTTTCCGATTAGTATACTGACTTTATAAGAATGACTCTGTTTCTTATTTTGACTCAAAATCTGATAATTGAGCTAATTTGCTGTGGCTGTATATGTATGGTGGTAAACCCAAAAGACTTTAGTTGTAGGAGTAAGTTACCCAACAATTGTGTTAGTTTGTTAAGATAAGCTTCTCTTAATGCTCTGTCCAATGAACCCACTTATCTACACATTTATGGGATACTATGACATGTATACATAGATGAAATATGATGTAGAGGCAGTTTATTGTGATTCTTTTTAATTAAGCAGCAATCCTTGTTTCAACAAACAACTGAAGATCACATTTTGTGGCCTGTTTTTTTGTCTTGTTTTCACCAGGGCTCTTCTGGTGATTGCACACAAAGTCTAGAGCCATCTCCGGCCCGGCCTATCCTACTCTTGCTCTTTGTTTGGGATAGACATCACTGTGCTAATGAGAATATTTATAAATATACACACACATGCACACGCTGACAGATCCACATGCTCCAGTCAGTGTCATCGCTCACACTACTGTTGTGCAAACGGAGTGTGCTAAGCCATTCACAGCTCAAATGCATTTGTGCAACCCCTTATAAAAAGCAAAAACATTAGCCGATCATTTGCTTTGTCTTCAGGGGACTCAGCTGCTGGAGCTGCGTTTTTTTAGCTCACATCTACTTGCTATTTGACATTCAATTTCTTCTTTCTACCGCAGCGCTGTGCTCTGCTTGTTTTAAAGACAAGGAGCTTGGTTGGTAAGCTTGTGTACATAGGCTGTTTGGTCCCTGTCAGGAATTATTTCCCATGCTTCTTCTGTGAGTGTTCGTGCCATCGCTCTTTTGTTCTCTTCAAAGATAATAACAATCAATCATACAGTATAATTCAAATTAGCATCCTTTTCCCCTTATTTAACTTTACATTAAAGTGATGTAGGCGGCCAGGTAATGTGTCTGTGATTGGAACGACCCTCTCCACGCACACACTAAACACAAACTTAAGCAGAGGAATCTTGTTGATTTTCTATGGATTTTTATGAACAGTATTTTTTCAATGAGGAAATAATTGTGACTAAAGCTTTGCTGACCTGTTATTGTTGAAGGCCGTAACGTTTAGGGTTTTGGGCACGCAGAGTAAGTGGACATGTACCTGACACTGTGCTCCACTATCCATGCTCACATCCTCCTCTCAAACACATTTCTGTCCCGCTTATGTGTTGCTTTCACACTGCGTCGATCGGCACTAGAGCTGTGTGTGTTTCTGAAAAGTGGGGACCAAAAGCAGCTACGTTAGACGGAGGACGCACTATCATCGCTGACTGACAAGAAAAAATACTGTGAATTCGTATTTATTTATATCTCTTTGTAAACATGTGTGCTTTTGTTTGTATTCTGCGATGAATAATTTGTACAGTTTTTACACGCTTTGCCTGATCACATACATAAGGGGTTGCTTCTAAATGTATTTCGCATAGTGACAAACACACTCACATTTACTAATTAAATTACTGTGGGTTAACAAAATGTATCATATAAATAGTATCAATTGTATACAATATGATATTTATGATGTTATTCTTGGCCATTCTTTTTCTCATTTTGTGGCCCTTTTCTTTGAAATAATGCCAATTTTTTTACACCATGCAACGAGATGAACTTCACAGAAACAAATAATTGTACAGGTTGTAAATATTAAATTCTGGGAATATCCTTTTTTTGTATGGAAATGAATACAGTAATCTCAATAACAGAGTTAACCACGTCATGATGAAACTGCAGAAACATTGTTATGGTACTTCTAATAAAGATCATACTATCTACAATTATAAGTGCTCAGATAAGATTATTCTTTCTCTTTGTACATGATGATGAAAATAAAGTGTCCAGTATTAATAATAAAACTGTAAGTTTCATGAAAATGGTCTTTTCTCCTCATTTATACAAGTAATTTTATTTATAGCATGTTTAACTTTTTAAACAAAATCATAGAATAGGAAAACAAAGAACCAAATTAATTAGATGTATTCAAATATAATTATTATTGGGACATTGTAAAATAGTAATGTATGCAGTTATTTTAACTTTGTTCATAGTAAATAAACCATGGTCGACATGTTTTGAAGTGTCTTGCCCAAAGACACATCACAGAGAGTGAAGCTAATCTCTCATTTTGATTGAGTGGAAACACATTTACTCCATATTCTGTATCTATCTCCATCTTGCCTCCACTCACATGTTTGCAGCCAATGCTTTGAAAACATGGGTTGACACATGCCCAGGCTGGTGAGAGGAGAAGAGGAGGGGGCGACCCGAGAGCCATGGGCCATATGGTGCCTGTTCGCTGAGGAGGGGTCTATCCAAGCCCTCTGGCCTGCACCAGACTGTCACTTCTCTTCTACCATCTTTGTCTTTTTGCATTGTTAGCGTGACGGCAACAATGCACATAAATATTGAAGGTGAGCTCATACCACACGTCTAAATAATGCAGACCATGCCCCAGCAGCCGCTGACATTGAGACGGTTGTTTATCTCTTGGCATTCCAACTGTAGTGGCAACAGTGTAATGCAGAGCTTGTACCACACAGGCCCCCTGTGCAAATGTATTTAAATGTATGAATAAAAAATGTGCTTTCCGTTCAAGGAGAAAGCGAGCCAACTATCCCAAAGAAATCAAAGACTTTCTGGGCATTTAGTTTTGATACTAATGTCTTTGGATGCAAAGTTCTTTTACTCAAGATCAGAATGTGGTCCTTACTCATGCAAAATATATATGTTTTCTCTTTGGTTAAAAGACCAGTTTTAACTATAGCACAGTGCTTGCATGGTAATTGCTCTGCCTCTTAAGTTTCAACGTTTAGCTATCTGTCATGAATCATCTTCAGCAAATCACTGGATGTGTTTAAGGGGCTCATTTTTTCCTCTCCTAATGTTATTGATGTACGAAGTCGCGGTGAACCTGATGGATCGGCCGCCTGAGTGCTCCATCAATCTAGCAATCTATGCAACTCATGGCAATATAAATATCTTTTACTATTTACTCCTTGTAATTTGTGATAAACATATATCAACCCCAGAAATATAATGCGCAATGTGAAATAAGGTAATTTAATCAGGCTGTTGAATTGAAATCACTTTTTTAGGATTTGAAATAGTAATATAGTGAACAAAAGTGGGCTTAGGCTAAATCCAATGGAAAGTGGAGCTACACTTGTAATGCGCCTTACAGACTTGTCAAAGCCTCTCAAAGGGTCGAAACTGTCAGACCTCTCTTGAAATATAGTACTGAGCTGTCGTGGCCACAGCTGCCTTGGGGAAGACTGACTGCAATTTGCCATGAGCCCCTCGGACCACCAGCTATCACTCAATAACCAAAGACTACAGATGGAAATTCTAGGAGCTTAATGTCTCTCTACACTGACCCTTCAATAAAGATTAAAGTTGAAGTTACTATAAAACAGTTTTGGCAATATGGCAGTAGATGTTTCATATAGGCTTCAAAGGTTCCACTGCATATACTGATGGAAAATAAATCACAAATGTCTCAAATTTGGCAAAATGTATCTAGGATTGTGTATAGGTTCATATCATTTTGATGCCTTTAAACAAGATTTGTCAATGGGACAAGCAAAATTATCTTGTTTTAAAAAGATACAAGAAATTTCTCCTTTGGTGTGAGAAAATAAAGCAACAGTTCTTAAAATAGGACTAAGCGGCTTTGTAAGACAGTCAGATTGAGATGATAAGACTCAGATTAAGATGAAAACCACTCCATTCAGGCAATTATTACCTGTGTACCTGTCAAACCCAATCAATGTTATTTCATTATTATTGTTTGAATCAGCAGTCTTATTTTAAGTGCATCAACCTGTCCAGAGACAACAGGTGTAAACATGTGTTAAATATCAATTCCATTTTTTCAATTCAACATCTAATAATGGTCGAATGTTATAAAATGTTCTCTCTTGTCAGGACACACCCCATAAATATTGCGAGCCATTTTTCGGAGCTGACATTTTTAGTGAAGTGGCATGTAGAATCTGGACTAAAGCAAATCGGATCAATAATGTGTTTTAGAATCAATACCAAACCATATAACGTACGGCCGCTGACACCAGTATGGATTTTTATTGGCCGAACGGTAATAGCCATATAATGCCAATATGGAGTGACTTCTTCTTCTTCCCCTTAATCTTCCTTCATTCTGACCTCATGTGTATTATTTCTCTTACCCTCATTTGAATACGGTCTCCCAGCTCTGTGTTGTAGATGACACCCAGCTCCCATTCATCATCTATGGAGCGGCCCCCCACCACAGCCCCCTGCTTCTCACTCACATTAATTTTTCAGTCACACGGGCAACCAAGACTTATTCAATTATTGATGACGGGAGCCGGGTGCGAGTGTTATGAAAAAAGATATACTCAAATCATTGCAGGTCGAGAGAAATGGGCAAAGCTTACTGGGTAAATCTAACTATTGGACAATAGTTCTGTTCGGGGCAGATCTGCGGACCACCGAGCCGCAACACTCATTACTTTATCATGGTGGCAAGACAGATGGCTATGGAGGTCACAGTATGGAGGGTCCAAAAGTGAGCCTCCACTTCATCTCTACAAGCCTCATTTGTTACTGTTCATTTTGTTTCTATTCTGTCATCGCCTACTTGCGTTTAAGAGTGAACTGTTACCTAGCGACCATAATCAGGCTTCATTTCCATGTCAGGGCATCTGGGAGAGGTAGGGGGAGACCAGCGGTATTTGGTGATGAGCGGACATGACCATGTACGGCCGTGTACTGAAGACAGATGTGGTGTGTGGATGTGATTCTGGTCCTTGCACTGCAGCGCTTTTGAATGTGCAGATATAAAGTTGGTCAGCATACATGGATGTGATGATTGTGTAACTGATTTTTCTCCAGGTGGAATTTTTCAGAGTCTGGATACATACTGTATTTGTAACATGCGTAGACTACAATAGACCTACTTATTGTACCAAAACCATTACTAAAAGAATGTAGCAAATAATCGACCTCTCGTCAACATCGCACAAACATTTGAGTAATAAGTACAGTATAATAGAATGTCTCCGTAGCACTTTCTCGGTGTGGAAGACTATTGCACGATATACAGTATGTTGATGAGGCTTGGTGTGTGACATAAGAGTGAGAGTGAGTGAGAGAGTAAGTGGACTAAAGGCTTGGGCAGACATACTGCAGCCTGACAGGACCTGTTGTTTCATACTGTTACAGACATCTGCTCCCTCGCTCAGATTCTACACTGACCTTTCAATGTTACTCCACATTTAGAAATCTAATGTTTGCTGTAATACATGAGTGGACGTGATGTATATGTGTGATGTGACAGAGAGAGACACGAGCAGGACCAACATTTCAGACTCTGTACATTGCAGCAGGATGAGAAAGATGGAGTGATTGTACAGAAGTGCGAGCAAACTGTAAACGCTAAAGGACAGAAGGTGAAAGCGAAGTGCTGAGAGGAAAGGGTTAAGGAGGAGAGCGCAGTGAGATGGTTGCCTCGGCAACAGCTCGAGCGTTTTTCTCTCTTTCTTTATCAATGCCTCTTCTTGCACATTCAGTGTGAACATTTCCAACCTTTGTTAGTTGTGGTGTTTCAAAAGCACATTGCCTCAACAGTGTGTCATGTTTGTGTGTTGCAGAGACGGCTCCACAGCTTTGTGTTATTGTGTCATGACTATTATTACTCCCATCATTCTTAGTGTGCACTTATGTCAAGGACCATTCCCGAAATGCAGCATTTACAACGGCATTTTATACATTTTACATGGAAATAAAGCAAGATATTTATTTTGGCTACGTATTCTCCAAGGCGCCATGGAAAGTAACTGCATTTTGTTTCCACACACTTACTCACAATTTTGTCCATTGGCATTTCTTGATGGTCATCACAGATTTGAAACTCATCGATGCATTCTGTCTTGAAATCCTCTTGGCTGATCTGCATCGCGACAACTGATTACACAGTGTGTCCGAGTCTAAAGAAAGTGAGTAAAACTAAATAAAGCACACGATATGGCTTTATTTCGTTTTCTCCAGTCTCCCTCGGCATGACACTGTGGCTGTTCAGAGGAGTAATTGAAGCAAGAGGCTTCTATCACAGTGCTGCCGAACGGGAGATCCTTTGTTCCTTCGGCTGTCAGACTGTACAACAGACCTGGATGAGTCTTCTGCTGCTGGACACCTGAATTTCTCCTGCGGGGATCAATAGAGTATCTATATCAATGCTGCTTCATCTATTGTCTTTTGGAAATACGGTTAGACTGGTTCAACACATACAGTACTGTATAAAGGTATTGTGTTATTGTTTGTTCATGCAAGAGAAAGATAGATTTTTTTTTTTCCATAAATAAAGCACAATACAAACAGTTTTGTGTAAAAGGTATTTTAACCAGTGTGTACTTAGATGTCACACTTGATTTTTGTCTTGTAAATGCGCAGCTGGCAGCACTCAGTGACTCCATCCTGTCGTCTGCTCCGTCCTGACTGCAGCCTCATCAGAGTGTGGCACATGACAGACGCCGCGGGACGTGCACTAAGGTCACCGGCACATCTCTGTGGGCCGTAGGTGTGAGCAGTGTTTGTGTCATGGCACGAGGACGGCATGAGGGACACGTGCACTTTCTCTTTATTCATGGATCTCATTTTAAATATGCAACATGCTGTGACACTGACAGTCAACCCTGATTATACTGAAACACCAACAATAAGGAACGAGTGGATATTCACAAAGAGTTATGTTCTGGTCATCCATTTTGGTTCAGAAGGATTAGTTCAAATGGCAGTTTCACCATCTGCTAGGTTTGGTGAACCTATCAAGAAATATACATTACTGTATGTGCAACATCTTGAGGACTGTTTTAAACATGAATAGCTCTTATGACAGGCCAAAATTTCTCTTCACTCTGAAGGATACATACTATGAGTTTCACATAACAGGCCTTTGGTACGTTACACTTATTGCTATAAAAGGAGAAATAAAGTTTTTCTTGTGGACAATGCCACTTAACTTGTGAAGCCCGTCAGAAGTGCTCATCCGGCACAAGGACAGTGAGGATGGTTAAGGCGACATGACACGCAGGAGCAGAAGAGCTGGAGGGCCCTCAAGACAAACCGCCTTAATTGGACCAATCACTGTGGTCCTGCCGTGCATTATGGGTGAATGCGGTCGCCTGCAGAACCTTGGCCTGCCCCATAGACGCCATAATCCACCTGTGAAAGCCTTTAATCAACTGATACCTGCACTCATGGCGCGCGCTCGCATGCCTCTGCAGCTCCCCTCCTCCTCCCCTTTCCTGCTACCGTAGTGATCGGAGGCTGCGGTTGCTAGGAGACGGGATCAGTGCTTTTAGCAGAACGAGGTGAGTCCTTTTGGAAAGAGAGCGTCACCTTCTGGCGTCTGTGCGTTACTACAATGATGGGTTGTAGATACGAACACGTATGTAGGCCAGAAATGTTGGTTCACTTTAAAGTTCACTTTAATTCTGTCTTATAATAGTTTAACACTGTAGTCACAGACAATTTATGTTTTTGTCAGTTAATTTCGGGTGAAGTGCCTAGAAATGAATGCCTCCTCTGTGTTTTACCGACCCCCTCTAATTGGTGAGAGATCATTATTGGAGGAGGGGTACAGTGTTAGTTATGTGTTTGGTCTGACAACTTTAAAGAAAATGTCTGCACACTTTAAAAAATATTTATTGCTGTCTATTAGCCTCAGTATGTGTTTGTGGTAAGACGATGACCCCTAGTGGACACCGAGACATAATTCTACGAGTACATCGGTCAGGTGATGATTGTATGAAGTATTGTAAACATTGAGATTTTTCCTTATTCTTATAGAGAAAAAAAAAACATAAATTTACTGTCAATAAGCTACAGTTATTGGGATGCTTGTTTTAGGTAAGTTCTGTTTTACATAAAAAAAAATAAATAAAAAAAAAATGTAAATTTGTATGACTTGGGTCAATCCTTTGGATAAGCTTCCTACATTAGTTGGTGAGAACAATTGCCCATTTCTCCAAGCTGAACTAGTGTAAATGAGTCTGGTTTGCGAGCTGCCTCTCTTGCACACACCTTTTCAGATCTGCCAACTTTTCTGCGTCTAATTCAGGGCTTTATTTTAACATTACATGTCCATTAGGGAGTGCCATTTCCATCCAAGCTTGAATGTATTCATTGACATTTTGAGATGTTGCTTAAATATTTCCACATTCTGATCCTTCTTAATTTGAAAATAGGCACATTCAAGGATTAGCACGTACTGTTGTTTCCCACCAACAAAACAGCCCCACAGCAAAGGCCCCATCATGCCTCAGAGTTGGGATTGTGTTCTATAATTTACAATCTTCCCACTTTTTCCTCAAAAATGAACAAGCTGTCATGCTCAAACATTTCCACTCTGGACCACTGGACATGTATCCAAACATGAGGGTTTAGTTTTATATATTTGTTTTCAAAGTGCAATTTAATGACACACTCTTACCAGCTTCAGCATAATCTGCAAGTTGTTTACTGTTAACTGGGATTGATTCTCATAGCTTTGAGAGAATACAAATCATTTAGCTTGAAAATAAATGATTGTATACAGGACGACTTATGTTACCGACTGTGAGGGAAAAAATATCATATTTATGTACTTGCACACAATGTAAATGTCGAATTTCAATCTTGTTCCATTTGTTTGACAGACAAGAAAAGTGTCTCTCACTCCAGTGATAATACTCAGTGAAATTACATACCATGTGTTTATGACAGTGTCCTCTTGTGGTCATTGGAGCTGTGTGGGGTCCACTGTATTATCTCTCCTATAAAAAATGGCTAAGGGCTATTCCTTCATTTTATGAACCAATTCAGTAAGAAAGTAGTTAAATAAATCAAGTCTGTCCCTGTTTGAGTTAATACAGTGTTTATAAACTGGGAAAAACTGTTTTAACAAAATAAACAATGTGGGTTTTGTGCATATTGAGAGTCTGTGAATCCCAGCAGGCAAAGTGTTGATTGTGTAGAATTCCTTGTTACAGGCGGTGGATATTGGATATTGGATGCTTTATCTTGTCTCAAGCCCCATTATTTCCATATTATTAAAGGGCAACACAGAATAACTGTTGTTATACATCACACACTTGTGCTCAGAGTAACACTGGTGTGTGTGTGTGTCTGTGCGTGCATGTGTGTGTGTGTGATCACATGTGAAAATCATGCAGATACATCACCTAAAATCTATCCAGAGTTAAAGCTCTGTGATGCAGTTGCTATGGCAACAGTGATAGAAATAGACGTGCATCTGCAAAGAAATGAAATGTATTGAACTGTTGTTTAGAAGCTCTGATTACACCACTGAGTGACAGGCATCATTCATGTCTGTTCTCTTCATGATTATTTCAATCTGCATGAGTAATATCTTAATGTAACGTGTGTGAGTGTGCGTGCGTATGGGTGTGAGCGTGCGTGCTTGAGTGTGCGTGAGTGTGTGTGTGTGTATGTATGCGTGTGTCTTTGCGTACACGCGTGCATGTGTGGGTGTACGGTGCAGCAGGCGGGGGGCAGAGGCCACATGATTATGGAGGTGCCGTGTGTGAGCACAGAGACAAACCAAAGGGGCAGGATATCTTTGATGTGAATTCTGCTGTTTGTTGGGTCAAATGATCAATACTCTATTTAAGCCTGATCAAATGGCAATGAGAGAATAACAGCACGTGTTCTTGGAGAGATCTCACTCCTATTCTGACACTAGACACCTTAGTAGGCTGTTAAAAAATAGAGCTTTTAGATGAAGGCTGTCATACTGTGATTGTGAATGTCCTGCTGCAGAACAGGAACAAGCTGAAATGCAATTATTCAAATATAAATATTAATTAATTAAGTCCAGGAAAATATCGTTTTATTTCAAAATATTATACAATAATGTTCAATCATATTTTTACACTATGTGAGAGCCCATTGGCAGATTTGTTTGCATAGATGAAATTCCCTGGATACTCATCAAACAGACCAAGCCAGAACAAAGGGTAATGGTGTGATCACTGGTTCAACCACAGACGTGTCTATGTATGTAGGCTGAATTAGTGCAACACGCCTATGTTGTTAAGTAAAACTGAAGAAGCTGGTTTAAAATACAAAAAAAAAAACCTTGGGGAAGGAGGAGGGTAGGACTAGAAGAATAAGAGGAATATGATGAAGGGAGGGGTATAGGAACAGGCCGTGTGTGCATTTTGAAGGCGTTCTTTCTATTTCAAAGACACACACAAGACAAATGTGCCACGAAAGACTCCCACTGCCGTAAAGGGAACGAGGGTAAATATGCACATTTCCGCGGACAGCATGGCAGCATCGTGCATGTTTCTTGTTGTAGATCAGTGAGGCGCAGGCACCAGAGGGGAGGGGCGGGGGTGTATGGACCTCTGCTTACGGGACCTACAGGCAGGCGCCCCGATTGTGCTCCGCTCGCATCATTTTTAGAGGTGAAGACAAAAGGAAAATCGGGGATCGGTAAAAAGGCCCGGGTACCGAGTGTCGTGACGGGGCCCTCGGGCTTGTCTGGACTCAAGGCTGGAGAAGGCGGCTGGGGTCTGGGGTTTCCTGCCACAGCGGCGGGATTGTGTCACAAAACAGCCTTTCACTCTTCCAGGGCCTTGTATTGCTACGTTTCAGGTATGCATCCAGTGTGTTAGCTTCGGCTCTGAGGGCTCGCATCACCAGACTGGACTCTTGTGAAACAGAGGCTACGTAATGACTTTTTCCCGATTTAATGTCATCGCACCCGGTCTGTTCCCAGTGTTAATCATGTTAGCTAGCGCATCTACATAATATCTATGCTTTAGCCAGCTCACATCTGCCCCCGATCACCTATGTTTAGTGTTTAGCAGCTAGACGCTCTCTGCTGGGCTGTGTGCTAGCATGCTCAGACTAGCTTTACAATATGAGCTTTATTCTGCGGCCAATGTGCTATAATAATGTAAGAAGGACATCATAGCTTGAATGCTAACCTGGAGCAGCTCTCTGTTCTGTAAGAAAGCGGATGGCTCTTTTAGTACAGACAAACAGACAAGTGTACGGTGTGGCTAACATTACAAGGCTAAAATAGTCAGTTTAGCTGCTAATAGTAAGGCATACACACTGCTGTCGGACAGTGGAGCTACACGCTTTATCACTAGTGTCTTATTTTGTGTTGAGTTAACGTGATGGAAGCCTTAGATGAATTTGTCCCCTGGGTTATGAAGAGCATATGTTGTATGGTACGTTCTGTTTACTGTAAATGCTGCTGTTGTCAATTGATACGCTCCTCCGTTTGTACTATATTTACCTGGTGATCATGGTTAAAACACATGTATACTTTGATTTATGATGCGTGGAGATTTATTAGAGTGTTTGATTTATTTTCAATGTTTACAAGCGTCTTGATTTGAAATGAGGTAAAAGGGACACGTTCATGTAACTTATTTAATGCTTTAAGTACACTGGTTGTTTTGAATGTTGTAATGACACGCTCTTTCTCTTGACTGTCTCTAACGTCACTTGATTTGTATTCAAGGCACTTCCTTCAGTCACATTTGTAGCTAAACACAGTGTGGGCTCAAAGAAGAGTTATATTTCTTTGATGTTAAATTCTTTATTCATCCCACAGTGAGGAAATTTCATTGTTGCATCACAAGTTGGCCGGCAAATTAAAGTAGTCTTTGTCCAAACACAATTTACTGTCTAGGTTAGATGTTCCAGGCAATTATGATTGGCTGTTCTATACAATCTCCTTTGTATTGAAACTTTGAAAATCAAGAATTTCTGTGTTCGATCTGCTTCATTATTAAAAACAACCTTGTAAAGTCCTTTGAGACAACCGATGTTGTGATTTAGGGCTATACAAAAATACTTGAAATTGAATTGATTGTTTAATTCATATTGAAATGTGTTTCAAAGAAATGGAATGATTGCATTTTGTCACTTTGTTAAAATGGCTTTACTAATATAAATTTTTACCTGTATGTATTCCAATCTAGTTTTACTGCAAATGGCAAATCTGAGATGTTGTTATTATAAATACGCCTTTGTAAAAGAGACCAATTTGTGCTAATACATCACTTATCTTGTATTTTCAGATATGTGAAGCCCATTTCTTCTGGAGGAGGATGACTTCTACGTGGAAACTCTGAAGAAAATGTGGCTTGAGTGAACTCAAAGTGGAATAAATGGATTACCCTCCTTTGGGAAACTGTTGCTATGGAATCAGGTAGAATTAAATAACATTCAATATAAAAAGAGAGCAAGGACAGAAGACGCAAAGAAGGAATGTGGCTGCCTAGTTGGAGAAAGTGAAACTTGCATAAGGACCAAAGACATCTGCAGTCTAGATGAACAATGCAGAAGGACGAACAATGAAAAACGTAATGACCAAGAAACACATTTTATCTCTTAGTAGTACTGCTTTGTTCATGAACGCAAGTCATGGATTATTTGCCCCTAGTAATGTTGTCTAGAGGGCTGTACTATGGCCTGTTGATTCAAGTTACTGCATTGTGTTGCTCACATTTATGTGAGTCAGGTGAAGGTAAACCTGCACACAGAAACAACTGATGGATTGCTTTATGAATGCTCAGTGCTGAGACTGAGTCTATCTTTTTGCACAAAAAGGTGTAAGAGCAGAGCATTGAACATCCTATTGAAGCAAGCTGTTGATCTTAAGACATTTAAGTACCATACACAGTGCCAAAACGTGATCAAACTTACTAAAGTCTACTTATACTATTCTGTTACGAGAGCTGTTAAGTGACAACATATCTATTGCCTGGTGGACTGATACAAGTGCCCTGTTCTGCCAGCCTTAGTTGGTTGTAGTGATTTACCACATTCTTGTATTTACTGTTGGCAATGCTAACTTCTTTTTTTCTATTCTGGCCACACAAATTCCTCTTTTTTTTATCCCAGACATTCCTTGCTATAGACTCTTGTGTTTATTGCAAACTTTGAAAAAAGAAAATGCAAAATTTTTCAAACAACGCTGCCCCCTCCTCTCTCCCTCCTGGATTTAGTGGGAGAGGTGGAGCAGGACCTCCCTATCCCTCTCAGCCAGCAGAACCCCAGATTTCCCCAAGGATGACCGATGATTATGCAGGGATGCAACAGCAGAGTCTGCACAGAGGCCATCCCCACCCCAGTCAAGCCAGCCACATGCTAGCTTACAGCTCCAGGAACAGAGGAGGAGTGGAGCTGCCACCGGCCCATGCAACCATTCACAGTGGCAACTCGACTCATCCCTACAGGAAAACTCCCATGGAATATTATTTTTCTGTTGGTGGGAAAGATAGGAGCAGAACAATGGGGATGGGTTTTGGAACAAGCTTTGGCTACCCAAATATGGATGGACATATTCCTCACCAGTACAGACCAACTGGATCTGGGTCTACGCCGCCTGTAGGCCTCATGTCTCCTTATCCAGTAGACTATGGTTCCACTGCTGGTACAGGTGGAGCCGCCGGGGCTTTCTCTCCTTCGCACCAGTACAACATGGCTCAGAACCCTGCAATGCAGTCTGTGCCAAGTTCTCAAATGCAGCACCGCCAACATGGACAAACCTTTCCATCTGTCCATCCACAGCATAGAAATTACCCTCAATCTGGGAACAGGATGGCCGCCCAGTATCCACAATACTCTCCACAAGGAGGGGGGTCCACAGGGTCATCTGGAATGTACAGCCCGCCCCCACAGAGATATCTTGATGGAACTGCTACTACCGGATTTGATCCCAAAATCAACAGTTCTCCCAGTGTGAACACCGCTTCAAACTCTGGTTCAGCTGCTTCTAACAATGTGGGCCAAATGGAGAACGCTCAACCAAGTTACCATGCATCTAATTACGCGAGATATTCCCCACAAACACATTCACTTCATAAGCAAGCCACGCTGCAGCATCGCTCCTCTCAGCACAACTTGGGGGTCGGTTATGACAACTCACTGAAGATGCAACACCAAGGCTCCGCTACAGGCCCTGTATTTGCGAAACATCAGCAGCCCTCTAATCCCAGTATACCTCAAACCACATCGTTAGAATTAGCTAAATCCCCCATGCCTCCTAATGCACAGCCATCTCAAATTAACCAAAACTTTAGTCCCATATCAAACCCGTCCCCAGTCGCGTCCGCAGTGCAGTCTCCCAGTTGTAGCTCATCTCCGTCTCCTTTGATGGGGTTCTCAGAGGCACATAGTAACCCCTCAGGTCAGGGCCCATCTCATCCGCCTATATCAAACCCTCGTAGCAACCATGGTCATGCCAGATTACTTCAGACTATACCCCAATTAAGCCCCACACCCAACTCCAATAGCAGCATTAGTAGTTGTGGTAGCAGTGGCAGCCAGAAAGCCCGCATTAAGGCCGGTTTAGGTGCAGGAATTGGACAAGATGAAAGCTCTTCTGCCTATTCGTCATCTCATAACAAAATGCCGGATTCTAGTCTAAATAGTCTTAATGCCTTGAGTTCACAAGTAGCCAATTTACCTAACACTGTTCAGCACATGGTTCTCACAGACACGTTGCTTTCTCAGAAAAGGGGAAGGGATGAGGTACACGCAACGTCGCAATCACGGAGCAGAAATGCAAGCGCTGCCTCCAGTACAAGTACAATTAGAGATGGCGGAGCAAATGTAGAGGTTGGCCACGAAGAAGAGCAGCTTTCTGAGGAGGAACCTGGGAGGGTAAGACAGATTAGTGGGACCAGCACTGGCTCAGAACCATGTAATCGCCCCGGTTTTAAAAGTCAACAGCAGGAAAATTATGGCAACCAGGCAAAAGAAGCACGTGAATTAGATTTAAAAACACAGACAGTTCCAAAATGCCATTCACCTCCTTCATCTATCCCCTATTCTAACAGTATATCTGAACATGAGTCAGCGTATAATGAGAACGGAGTTTCTCTCAAGAAAAATATGATTTTAAAAGACGAATTCATGAAAAATGAAACTGATGCGGTGGAGAAAAGGCTTAAAATGAGTGGTCAAAGCATAGATATCAAAAATAGTCTGTATAAAGATGGTAAACTGCATGCTGGACACAGATTACAGAAAAATGAGAGGGAAGAAAAGCACACTGAGGAACAGCAAAGTGGTGGCAGTGTGGGGGTTATTGTGTCGGCTAGGTCCGAGGCAGGTCTAAATGAAAAGAACAAACAGACTCATGATAGCGCTGAAGAGAAACGACTGCTCTCGAGAGTATCGATCAGCCACAATGGTGATGAAGGTGTAGATTTGAGTCTTTCCTCCCAACAAAAATCGCATTTAAGACACCCTCAAAGTTTGTCCCAGCCTGTACCACAAAAATATGGCTATCCTGAATCAACATATGGCTCAGATTTGTCACTGAAGAACAGGGGAAGAACGGGTCCAGGGGGTGTAATAGAATCAAATTCCAAATATGGAGGGTATCAGCAATCACAGGCTAGTTTTATTTCTGTACCAGCAAAAGAAGCCGTAGCAGAGCCAGTGGTGAAGAAAGGGCGAGGGCCCACAGCTGCTCAAGGAGATAACTCACAAATGCAGCAGTTTCCAAGCCTTTTGCAGGAAGTACTTCAAGGTTATAATTTGGACCGACGCTATGGCAGACCAGAGCAAGTATATCCTTCCAATCTCCAAAATCAGTTTCAAAACAGAAATCTGTATAGTTTGACTGAAACTATTCAAATGCAAAGTGATGTTGGCAGTTCTGAAAAACCCTTTCACCCAAAACAGAGAAATGCTAATGAATCTGATTTTGCTGCAGAGTCCTCGGTAAAGATTGAATCATCTATTGTAAACTTTTCTCAAAAAACAGAAAAAGATGAAATTAGTTTGTCCAAAAGTACTTTGCCACAGGCTGCAGATGGTCAACATCCACCACCAAAGCATATCAATTTAGCAGACTATTCTCTTCCACAAAGAAAAGCCCTCTCTCATCTCTCTGCTCACTCTTCTGCTGTCCAGGAGCTGCTCTTGCAAGAGCCCGAGCCCCTCACAGGCAACAGTGGTCAAAGTGAGAAACCTTCCAGCTCTGTTTTAGCCCCATCAGAGCGGCGATCCGTCATCTGCGATATGTCACCCAACAGACGCAGCACACCAGAAAGAGACAGGGACAGTGATCGAGAACGAGAGAAAAGTCAAAGTGGAGCTTCTGTAATTCAACAGCCATTTTCCTCTCCAGCATCATCTAATGATGTGAGTAAAAAAGAAAGTGGAGACAAACAAGTAGCAAAAACAGAAGCTGTACCAAAAGATCTAGACACAGGGAATTTACAACCAATTCACCACAGTGACCTGTCCAGGCGTGGAAATGTGGATGCAACTTCTATGCCCCCACTCACTCCTGGCACTAATCCTTTATCCCCTCCATCAAGACATCAGGCCTATTTACGTGGGATGGATTTATCTGGAAACGCAGGTACTTTTCATGGATATACATTTGGAGACATGAGAGAGGGACTGATGCCACGCAACGCACCTCCTTTTCCTCCTCACCACCCATATCATAATTTACCTGGACAGACCCAATCTGCCAGTACACTAATGTACTCTCCTCATCCGCGCGCCCCACTTCATTTGCCACAAGACATGAATGACTGGTTCAAGGCCATGAGCCGAACACCAAAAGATGTTTTAATGCAGCCTGGTGCATCTCCTGGGAGACAAAAAGTTAGCCAATCAGAGCAGAGACAGAGAATGATGTCACATACTGACATGGCTAGTGACAGATCATCAATGCAAGGGTCTTATTATGATATGAAAATGTGGGAGGCCACACACTCGGCGAGAGATGGAGAGGCCTACTACAGAAATCAACCCCCTCCTCTTGCTCCCCCTCCCCCTCCTGTAGCTGGACACAACCCAGTTCCCCCAGAAATAACTCCAGTTCCCAATGCTGCAGAACTCTGTGCTTCAAGAGGGCCCGTGGAGGAAGCAAAACATCCCTGTCCCAATCCTCTGACCAGCACAGCTAAGCTAACGGCCAACATGCACTCCCCTCCTCCCCAGACACAGCGACAACTTAAAGCTGGGGGTTCTGGGGACACAAATCCCCTCATGTTAAGACGACGAGTCCGCTCATTTATTTCACCTATTCCTGCCAAAAGGCAACTTCAAGAGGCACCACAGCAGAGGGCAGCTCTCACTAATTCTCATCACTCCCCAGGAGCTCACTCAGAAACGAGTCATCACAATGAAGATGACTCATCCAGTTCAGAAATGTCATGTCCCAGGCTGTCTTCTCCACTTTCCAGAGAAAACACCTATTCACAATCATTGTCTCCGTCAAACAGTAACACTAAAGTCACACCTCCCAGGAAAGGTCGTGGGTTAAAGCTGGAGGCAATTGTGCAGAAAATCACACCAAATATAAAAAAGACAGCAGCCCAAACTGATGATGAGCCCAATCATTACTCTAGCTTTTCTCACTCAAATGAAATGCAACCATTGAATGATGTACGGGACCAAGATATGACCCAGTTCCCTAAAATCGCGGGTAGAGATGACGGCTACATGGACAACAGTCACTCTACGTTAAATGATTTGATTTCCTTTCAAAGAGTTGATGAAGCTGGACCATTAGCCCCATCGGCCTACAGAACTGATTCCCGTCAAACGTCCCAAGCAATTAAACAAAAAGATTTTGATTTTGGTATACCAGCATCAGCTTCTGGTGACAAAGAAGATTTTGCTTTGCTTGGACCTTTACCGCCACCGCCTCCTCTGCCACGGCCGGTTCAAGGTTCACCGCCTCCGTCGTCTTCTGCCCTTTCCGACATTCAGCACTTCACCAATACTTATCAACAGCTTGAAACCAGACGAGGAGAACAGTCTGCTGCAAACCTTCTTCGACAGAAACTGCAAGAGTCTGCCTTGGGGTTTGACGACTATCCTGGTAGTGACTACTACGGAACCTCCACCTCCCAAGAACACATGCTGAGCAGACCTCATCAGTCGTCTTCTAGGTCCAGTCTGTCACCACAGGATTTAAAACCACCTGATAATTCAGTACCAAAAGGCTATTTTCCTTCAGGCAAAAAGAAAGGCAGGCCTGTGGGAAGCGTGAACAAACAGAAACGTGCTCAAAGCCAAGGCCAAACTTCATCACAAACTTCATCTCAAGCACAGCCTGCAGTTTCGCTTGCTCCTCCCGACCTGTCCACTGTATCTACACCTGCAGCCCAGGATCCACAACCAGCACAGGGCATCTGCAGCCCTGAGTCCTCTGCTCCCTCACTGCTTGAAAACATAAACACCACCCCCACTCCACTTGCTCCTCCCATTTTAACACAGGTACCCAAAGTTGATTTGGAGAGTGAGGACACACAACCAGAGATCGAGGTCAAACCAGTGCGGAGAAGACGCAGAGGTGTAAAGGATGAAGATGGGCCATTTGAAGCAGGTGTAAAACAGCGGAGAAGAAGAAGGGGGGCAGCTATGCCGCCATTACTGGTCAAAGATAACCCGGAAGTTTCATTAAATACGAATAGAGTCTATTTGGAACCCAACAGGAAGGGCCTGTTTTCTCCACACATTCATGTAGAAAACAAGGTCCCTGAGATCGGAGCAGTATGTTCTATAGTAAATGCAGAAGAGGACAAGATGAAAGGGGAGCGAAGTGCTATTGGAGGGAAGACCAGCAGTAGTGGAATTGATTCTCTCCTGACCTCAGCTCTTTCTTCTCAGTTATCTCGCAGAGACAGAGAATCAGAGAAAAGGGAGACTGATGAGGTGGAAACTACTCTTCAGTCAGGCAAAGCACTTCCTTCATCTGGTTATGTTGTTGCAGGCCCTGTGATTACAGAGACCAATCATTCAGGCCGCCTGCTCTGCTGCCTCTGCCAGAAATGGGCAAACTATAAGAATCTGGGAGATCTCTGCGGGCCTTACTATCCAGCAGAATATGTTGCAAAGCTCCCCAAGAATCAGCCACAGGTTAAACAGTGTCCAACACCTGCTGGCACAAACAAAATGGGACCAAACTCAGAAACTAGCTCAAATGCTCCCTGCAGTATCCAAGACATACCGACTAAAGATATTATTCCATATGCCCAGCCTTCTAACTACAGTGACTACCCAATCAGCCTGGACTCTTATCTGAGCCGCACTGTACAAACTGCCTTTCCAGCTCAACAGGAGGAAATGATGCACATCTCTGAGAGATACAACAGTGCTTCTCCCTTCCTCTCCAACACCAATAAACCGTCCCGTCTAAGCTGGGATATGAATCTTGACATCATGCATATTCCAGAACTGAAGAAGGAGCCAGACTTTGAGATTGACCAACAAAAGCCAATGGAGGAAACTCCGCTGCGGCCTCAGCACAGAAAACTCACATCACACCCCCGCTTCAAACGAAGGCATAAGTCCAGTGAGAAGAACCCACGGATGGTGCCGTCTAACAGTAAGGCCTCCCTCCCCTTCCAGCCTCCACCTCCTGCTTTAGACTCTTTGGGTCCCCTCGCTCAGCTTGCCCAGTTGCCCCAGATGCCCATGGACCCAGAGGAGCTGTGGGTGCATGAAGCGTGCATTGTTTGGACCAGTGGGGTGTATCTTGTCAATGGAAGATTGTACGGCTTACAGGAAGCACTAGATGGAGCCAGAGAAACGGTGAGTGAACTTTGGCCTGCTCACTTTTGTTTTGTTTTTGAAGTTTTAAATAACGTAGTGCTTGTTATTTTTTTTGTCCTAGTGTTGTTCTCACTGCGACATGGTTGGCTCAACACTGGGCTGCTACAGCAAAGGCTGTACTCTTCGTTATCACTACTTGTGTGCTATAGAAGCAGGTGAGTGCAGATACACTTTAACATTCACAGGACTTGCATATCTACTTATAGTTGTTTTAACCAAGTGACTGTTGTCCATCCAGACTGTTCTCTGAATGAAGATAATTTCTCACTGCGTTGCCCGAAGCACAAGGTAAAAAAAGAGAGGTTGGTCAATTTTCATTCACGATATTTTAAGTCAAGATCTGCTCACATTAAACTAACATGAATATTGTTGATTTAACTGCCCCACAGTTTACCCAGAACATCCGGCCATCCAAGTGTGTATACCTGGAGCAGTCAGAAAGAGGCTGAGAGAAGCAAGGAGGAAAATGATCAATTTGAGTACGCCAACTGTAAGTTTAAAGTCATTTTTGGTCCAATGTCTAAAATTGTATGCACTTAAAGCTAGAGTTCTTTTAGATTTCATGAATACATTTGTCAAAACAGTTTTTCTGAAGTAAGATTTTTAATAAATCAGACCACAACATACTGTCTCTTATTAGAAAACATATGACTTGTTTACATTCTGAGAGCTGAGTGAGGGCTGGTACTCTTTGTCACTGATAAAGCTGATCTAAAGATGTGACAGAGGCCAAAAATACATTCATGTGATTGAACCAAACTGTTGAGAGCGAGGAATTTGTGGTTATATGGATGTTATACATATTTGTTATGTGTATAATACATAGTTATTTTTTGTGTGATCGTAAAGTATTAACTGAGATTGAAGTAATTTTCATTGATTGAAAGTATAGTTGGCCACTGTGATGGATTAAACAATGATATCGACCATGACTAAATAAATAAATCATGTGTACGCGAATTTCAAACATTTAAGAAATTATCAAAATATTTGATTATTTCACATCTCAATTTCCTACAGAATATACATATTTAAGTATTCATTTTTTTGCCAATGAAATGTGAATAAAGACAACATGATAATGCATGTTCATGAATGACATCTGCATCATGACCAAAATGTGATATTCTGATATTCCTGAATGCTAAACACGCACAAATGGGTCTGAGGCAGATCACGGCCCAGTCGCTGTTGTTAAAGTAAATCTGGTTTTGATAAAGTGCGGCCACCACTGTTCTATACACTGTGAAAAGCAATAACAAAAGCAGAGATTAAGTAGCCTTTATCAGACAATCCAAATACGTTCTGTTTGGAGGGGATTGGTTTAATATAAGCTTTTTGCTTCATCTAATGCCTTTTCAGACCAAACCAAGGGACATTTAGAACAGGGAAAAATGTGCCATCAATTGCAAATTAAAAATTATCTATGACATTAATCACGGTTAAAGTGATTGTCTGGAGTTTGTCAGAAAGAGAGAGAGAGAGGTGCTTGATTTGAAAAAAACGACCCAAGCTCCCTCCCCCTTCCTTTCTGATTGGTCTACGCCTACAGAACACATTATACATGTACATTATTAATACACATGCACAGAGGTTTTCAGAATTATTTGTTAACGTTTTAATGAAAAAAATAATGTTTTTATGCACAAAAAAAGCGATCGCGGCAAACCCGGAACAAGCTATTATCATGAATTGCACATTATAGGACACATCTGCAGAGGATCTGATTATGGATATAGGTTCAGTATATACATAAGTACCTCAGCGCGGATGTTCAGAATTCTTTGTTCAGTTTTCATGTAGTTCCAGAGCCTAATAGAGGCTCCGCGAAAACAAACAACTGCGCATGTGCGCAGCTGCGAGCATCAGCGCTGATGATTGACAGCCCTTGGCATGACTCGATTGGTTAACCTCGACGGCACCGTGGATTCTGAACTATAGCTAAGAGAAGGGAAGGCGGGACTTGCCCGTAACATTAGAATTAATAAAATGACTTATTTTATAAGTCATTTATACTTCATTTGCTATGAGACTTGGGTGGCATCTCTGATTGTCACCCCCCTGACCCAGAAATGGATTAAAGGGTAGAAAAAAATGGATGGATGGACTTATTTTATATCAACATTTAAGGCCAGGAGGTCAATTTAACACATTTCCTAAAATGTGTAATTCCTTTAGAGTTACATCACTTTAAATATTTGAATTGTTTGACAGCACTATTTTTAACACATATGTTTTAGATACTAAATTGGGTACCGCGGCTATAAGCTTTAACAGAGATGGAAGTCATTTTAATTGATGATAGGATAGTCAGCCACTGTACGAGAAAAAAATGATGACATCGACCATGACGTCAAAATAAAATCCTGAATACGCTTTTAAAAAATCTCATCAAAATGACTGGTTTAAAGAGAGTGCTGTCAGGGTTGCATCAGCAGACGTCTTAGGAGTTCAGTGGGGGTTTTGCTGCAGTGCACTGGACTGGCTCGATCGGCCCTGACAAACGTTCATCTGCTTCATTGTTTGGTGCAGGGCTGCTTTCTCATTAGTGGTCCTTGGTTAAATGGACTATAATTTCTTGGCCTGGGGCTGTTTGTGCCTTTTCTGTTAAGACATTCCAATTTAATTTCACGCTGCTATTGTACTGCTCACATTCAGCTCAACCTGTCCATGGAGGCTGAATTTAGCGATTCAACCAGTGTTTCCTGCTAATGTGCGGCCGTACTCTTGAGACAAAATGTTTTACAGATTTAGTCCTTTAGTTTTTTGCATTAGTTTAGTTTTATGTAAGAAAGAAAGACTTTTTCTATCTTGCATAAAATTAAAACAGCGACACCTTTTTTTTAAACGGAAAGTTAATAAATAAAAAATTGACATTTATAAAATGCACAACATATGATACATACAACATGATAATATAGGACAATTCAGTCGGGCTGTCATAATGTTTACTATACCGTTTTTTATTGTTCAATAATAATTTCTGGACTAATATTAGTTATCACCAGTTATCATTGGTATATTTTGTTTTTCTTTGTATCATTATAATAGATTTTGATTTCTTTCATGTATAAATATTGCTTAAATCTGCTGTCATTTGCGTGACCCCCAATGAAAATGTCAGAAATGCTGTTATTCTGCTAAGACATTTATTCTCCATAAAATATCATGCAGATTACATGAAATGTGCAACTTCAGTATTAACACTTTAGGCGCCAGAGTTTTTACAGAAACCTTGAAAGAGATAAAAGGTGGTGTCCTAAAACATAAGAGATGAAGCACCATTAAAAGCAACGTACAAACTGTAGGTAAACGTCTGAGATTTCTAAATATCTAATTGGGAAGTTCTTGTAAATCGTAACCACAATGTTTTTTATCTCCAATGATATGTTTAAGAATATTTTCACTCTTGAGCAGGTTTGCCAATGAAAAAACCTGTTGTCTCTTGTTTTAAAAAGGTTCCTGTGTCCAAACAAGGCTTAAGAGACATGTTCCACTGGCAAATCTTCTCTCATGTTCTCAAATCAACACTGATTTCCATCTTTTTTTTTTTTCAATCTTTATAAAGCTGTTTTGACAAATGTTTTACCATGTGCGGTTTTATCTGTTCACAAAGGTCTTTAATTATTGCAGCTTTTGCGCGTTGCCAATTGTGACTAGTTAAATTGTGATGAAGCCAGCTCACTGTGTAGAAAGTGGAGTCATGATCTCATTTCTGCTTGGTGTCCTGGTTAAAGCGAATGTTTTCAAACTGTGAAGAGAGAGTGAATACTGGTTAAGATAATGTTTCAATGTCACTGTTGCTCACATTACAGCAGAATAGAAGGAGAAATAAGACTCAGGTTATGCACACATAACCCATGCTCACCCACGCAGCATCCTGATTGGTCGGAATTAATTAAAATCCTTGAAGCCCCTTGTCATTGGTTTAACTATTCTCCTACAGCAAATCTTCCTGATCTTAGTTATGCCAAGGGGAGAGACCATTTTAAATATATCATTGTCGAGAAATAGTTACTGTACGTTATTGTACATTTTTTTAAACAAATTCAAGTTTCTGACATCACCTTTTTATAAAACTTCACGTGATATGAGACACATGTTGTCAATAATCTCTTGTAAAAAAGTTTCTATGACCTAATTCTGCATCAATATGTAATGTTGCCATTTACAGCTTTACGTACTTGGTGAAGTGGACTCGTAGGACTTCAACACACAACCACTTTTACAACAATACCCATGCGCTCAAAAGGACTTGCAACTTTCTTTGGAACGAAGAAAAAAAAGGCGGACCGAGGTGCAACGAAGAACATTTTTGTACAGGACACCAATCTCTCTCTCAAGGCTTTATTTTTCACCACGTCCTTAACGTTCTCGTTTATTGTTACCATCTGTATCGTCATGTAAACTTTTACTTTCAAGTATGTCTCATTATGTATTGGAAGTTTGTTGCACCAGACCATAGAATTATCCTTTTGAAATGAGTATTACCTTTTTATATTTGGACATTTATTTTGGTTATTCTTTTGTATCCTCATCAGTATTTGCATATTACGATGAAATGGATGTATCTGCCTTTTTCTAATTTAATTTTTTTTTTTTGCAAAATGTTCATTCCTGGAGAGGGAGTCTTTTCGTGTCGATGGAACGTCAGGGTCGGGTTTTGCCACAAAGACATTATTGCCTTGCAGAATGGACATCTGTTGCCTTTCAAAATCCATGTGTGTGAATGCGAGGTGAGTGTGTGTGAAACTACAAAAACAAATATGTGGATTTGAGAAGTGTTCTGACTTTTTTCTCCACTGGGGATTTCGACGGTTTACTGACAAATACAACGGAAAGCAAGCCTTATTTTTTCAAGTGCATAACAAGGAATGGGACAGGAGAATATTGGTTCCTGCCATCTCGGACGGCACCAAGGCTTTAAAGTTGGATTAATGCCCGGAGTTATGTGAACAGATTCAGCGAAATGGAAGATTATGGAGATAAAAGCAGAACATTGGACGTCTTCCAGCAAACATGATGTATTTAGGAAAATATTTCAAGGCGTCACACAGAGTCCCAGTATCCATCCAAGAAAGAAGGATTGCCATAAAACTTCAAAGTTCAAAGTTGTTCATGGGTGTTGTCTTTATTACTTTTTAACGTATATTCTTGTAAAAAAAAAAAAAAAAAATCTCAAAGAACAGTTACACTATCAGAACCATGCTGTATTAGAACTTGTCAATATGTATATGAACTATGAATACACTCAAAATGCTTCAACCATGTTTCACTTGTTCATTTACAGTTTTGCTTTTTGTTCTGTAGAGCCAGTAAGACGTCAAGTGACGGGGAGAAAGACTTGACCAGTTTGAAAAGGAAATAAGTTCCATCAGTGATTCATTATTATTGAGAAGAATGAGATAATATCTAAACTGGTGGCGGACAGTTTAGTTTAGAGCTAATTTCTTTAAATCCTGAGCCAATCCCTATGAAACACAATGTTCCACACCTTTTTCAGCACATATCAACTATGGTCGAATTTTCTAAACATTTTCTAGTGTCTAAAAGACCAAGATGTTGGTCAGTATAAAGAACTTTCAGACATAAGATTACTATGGCAGATTTTGTGCGAGTAATCATGATAAAATATTCATATTTTAAACATATTTTTAATTATATTTAATTTTATTGACCTTTTATTAAACCTGGAAAGTCGGACTGAGATTGCAGAATCTCTTTTTTCAGGGGAGTGCTGGCCCCAGAGTGGGGGAGGGTGTTATTGGAAACTATTGTACATGGTTTTAGTGGTAGAGGAAACTGGAGCACAGCAAATCCACACAGACATGGGGAGAACATGCAAACTCTACACAGAAAAGCTAAGAGGGGGAATTAAACCCAGGACCTTCTTTCTGTGAACCACAAGTGCTAACCACTGAAACAGAACAGATATAGAATAATAGAACATGAACGCAACCTATTCATCGGTCACATCCAAAATCTACAGGTCAGATCCGTGGAGAGGTTCCCAAAGATGAATATTGCAAAGATTTCTGAGGGATAGAAATCGGCGGAGGCGAGAGGGCAAAGATGAGTGGAGCCAAGTCAAATGAAAATGAAAGCAGATGTGAGTGTTTTGGATTTATATACAGGATTAAAGGGTGTGTTTGTGCGAGTGTGTGAAGTGCCCTCTCCAGGATTGTATCATAAAGACGATTGGAGGGCGCTGGCAGAGTTCACTGAGGCGGGCGCTTTGATGGTGGCCAAGACGGGAGGACATAAAGTGGGCCACTCCAAATGAGGTGAGTGCTTCTTGTTTCTTTCTCTGATTGTGGCTTTGCTTGACGTCTTTAGCGAGCCTGAGCGTGAGGGCTTCCATGACGTATGACTCTGTTCTTGATTTGGATCTGCTGCATTCTCTCTAGTTACCTGCAAGTGTTGATTCTTAGTGACTGCTCAATGTCTGATGGTGATTAGTTTTACAAATCCACCGGTTCCCTGTAACGGACACTTGTCAAACTCGGGCTCGTGGGCCATATCCGGCCTGCAAGACCATTTTAGTGGCCACTAAATTATTATTATTGATTTGCAGCATTGATGGTTATGGGTTTACCAAGACATGCTCCTCATATCATGTGGCTTGTGTCTCTGTATTTTACAACATAAAAAAGACAGAAAGTAAGATTAAGAGATACTTTATTCGTCCCATGGGGGGAAAATTTCAGTGTTGCATCACAAGTTACAGAAAAGTAGGAATGAGGAGCAAACAATACAAGAAGTTGTTCATTTTGTTTTTATTTGAAGAAAAATAAATATATGTTCTGTGAGATGGGATTTTTAGACTCAAAGCAAATAAAAAATCTATTAAAAATAAAACCAGGAATGCATAATTCTCAATTCTAAAGGTGAAATAGTTTAGTCTGGAAATATAATCAACTAAAATGTCTTAATTGAAATGTAGATAAAAATCTAATTATTAAATCACCATTGATTTAAATGAAAGACTTTTACCAGATTACCTAATGGATTTTTATACCATACCAACTTTATTATTAAGCACCTTCAACACTTTATAGCCCACTAAAGTGCAGTACACAAACAGGAAAACATAAAAATATCAATAATAAACAAGATTATCAACATCACAATATATTCAACACCCATAGAGACAAAGAAGAAGTCTTAAAGCTGGGGTACCTAACTTTTTAAACCCATTAAGGGTACATTTTGTTTGTAAAAGTAAACATTTGTGAAGAAATCAGGCCACATTGTGCTCTCATTATTAGAAAACATCTTGTATTTTGTGTACCTTTAAGAAAGAGCCAACTATTAGAGCCAACTATTAGAGCCAACTACTGTAGAACTATTTGACACTTTTGGCTGCAAGGGTTATTCTCTATTTTTCACTTATCTTCATTTCTTTCTGAAAATGTTGATCTAAAAAAGTGAAAAAGGCCTTAATACTTGCATGTGAAAACTAGTGATATGTAAAACCAGCAGAAATTTGCATGGATTTTATTTCAAAGTTAATTTATTTGTGGTTAGAAAGTCAGGCGCCCCAGCTTCTAAACTTTAGGGAATGTGATCGTTTGCACATACATTCATACAAACAAACTCAAACTGGACTGATTTCTAATTCACATCATGATAGCTGCTACTGCTATACCCCATAATCCTCACTTGGGGCAGATAGATGTTCAAAATGAATGAGTCATTAGCCCCATTTCCACCAGCCCTACTCGACTCTACTCTGCTCTACCTGGTTCTGTTTCCATTATTCTTTTGTATCCATACCGGATCCTGGTTCTGGTAAAACGGGGCCGGTGGGAGATAGATAGATAGATACTTTATTGATCCCAGTAGGAGACATTGATGTGTCCAGTATCAGCAGAAACACATCCAACCATACAGACAAAACAAATAAATGCATAATTCTAAAAGTAGCTAACAATAGTAACAGAGTTGGGTAGAGTAGAGTAGGGCTTTTTTTATAAATTGATCTTTGATGTTTAATGGAGTAAGCCTCAGTTCAGAAGGTGCGCTGTGATTACTGTGGTCCTCCTCAGGCATGGCGTTCCTGCAGCAGATGCGGTCCCCCCGGCTGTCCTTCATCCAAACCCTGCTGTCTCTGTTCCTTGCGACTTTGGCTCTGCTCTCGTCAAACTGGTGCGTGGGCAAACAGAAGGTGCCCAAGCCCCTGTGCACGCCCACCAAGCACAGCAACTGCATCCCAGTCCCAGGGGTCTCCAACTCCAGCAACATCCAGTTCTCCTGGGAGACCGGCGACGACCGCTTCGTGTTCCCCGTGTTCCACACCGGACTCTTCATCACGTGTGAGGAGAACATCTACTCAGACCAATGGGGTGAGCCGCTCTGGAAGTCAGCTGTTCATGTTCTAGAAGTGTGTTGCAGTGAGAGAGCTGGCGCAAATGTACGGAAATATGAGAACAACATTTTTTTGAAGGAAGCGCCGAAAAATAAAATGTCAATATTTTCCCTGATTCACAAGATAAGATAATCATTTCTTTTTTCAAACTTTTATTTAACACCATCTGATACAAATCTAAAACATAAATGACAATATACAACACAGTAGTGCTGTTGGTGAAGGAGGGAACGGGGTGTATTTTTAACATCCAAGGCAATAAGCAAAAAACTAATATAAGATAGACCTTTTTATTGTCCCACAGTGGGGAAATTTCAATGTCAACGTTGCACACATAACAGCAGGATATAAGAATGTAAGAGATAAAATTAAATAAAATAGTAAAGTAATAATATACTAATTATACTAATGTCTGTTATTTCTTTCTACTTGCCAACGTGCCTTTTCTGTTAAGACATTCCAATTTAATTTCACGCTGCTATTGTACTGCTCACATTCAGCTCAACCTGTCCATGGAGGCTGAATTTAGCGATTCAACCAGTGTTTCCTGCTAATGTGCGGCCGTACTCTTGAGACAAAATGTTTTACAGATTTAGTCCTTTAGTTTTTGCATTAGTTTAGTTTTATGTAAGAAAGAAAGACTTTTTCTATCTTGCATAAAATTAAAACAGCGACACCTTTTTTTAAACGGAAAGTTAATAAATAAAAAATTGACATTTATAAAATGCACAACATATGATACATACAACATGATAATATAGGACAATTCAGTCGGGCTGTCATAATGTTTACTATACCGTTTTTTATTGTTCAATAATAATTTCTGGACTAATATTAGTTATCACCAGTTATCATTGGTATATTTTGTTTTTCTTTGTATCATTATAATAGATTTTGATTTCTTTCATGTATAAATATTGCTTAAATCTGCTGTCATTTGCGTGACCCCCAATGAAAATGTCAGAAATGCTGTTATTCTGCTAAGACATTTATTCTCCATAAAATATCATGCAGATTACATGAAATGTGCAACTTCAGTATTAACACTTTAGGCGCCAGAGTTTTTACAGAAACCTTGAAAGAGATAAAAGGTGGTGTCCTAAAACATAAGAGATGAAGCACCATTAAAAGCAACGTACAAACTGTAGGTAAACGTCTGAGATTTCTAAATATCTAATTGGGAAGTTCTTGTAAATCGTAACCACAATGTTTTTTATCTCCAATGATATGTTTAAGAATATTTTCACTCTTGAGCAGGTTTGCCAATGAAAAAACCTGTTGTCTCTTGTTTTAAAAAGGTTCCTGTGTCCAAACAAGGCTTAAGAGACATGTTCCACTGGCAAATCTTCTCTCATGTTCTCAAATCAACACTGATTTCCATCTTTTTTTTTTTTCAATCTTTATAAAGCTGTTTTGACAAATGTTTTACCATGTGCGGTTTTATCTGTTCACAAAGGTCTTTAATTATTGCAGCTTTTGCGCGTTGCCAATTGTGACTAGTTAAATTGTGATGAAGCCAGCTCACTGTGTAGAAAGTGGAGTCATGATCTCATTTCTGCTTGGTGTCCTGGTTAAAGCGAATGTTTTCAAACTGTGAAGAGAGAGTGAATACTGGTTAAGATAATGTTTCAATGTCACTGTTGCTCACATTACAGCAGAATAGAAGGAGAAATAAGACTCAGGTTATGCACACATAACCCATGCTCACCCACGCAGCATCCTGATTGGTCGGAATTAATTAAAATCCTTGAAGCCCCTTGTCATTGGTTTAACTATTCTCCTACAGCAAATCTTCCTGATCTTAGTTATGCCAAGGGGAGAGACCATTTTAAATATATCATTGTCGAGAAATAGTTACTGTACGTTATTGTACATTTTTTTAAACAAATTCAAGTTTCTGACATCACCTTTTTATAAAACTTCACGTGATATGAGACACATGTTGTCAATAATCTCTTGTAAAAAAGTTTCTATGACCTAATTCTGCATCAATATGTAATGTTGCCATTTACAGCTTTACGTACTTGGTGAAGTGGAGGTGGACGATCTTTCATTTTATTTGCCATTTGCAGTAAAACCACATTGGAATACATTTACAATAGTCCCCAGTGTGCACGCGACAAGTACATCAATAAAACAAGGTTGTTCTAAAACTCCTCCTTTTCTCTTTAGGTTGGTTCGGTTTGCAGATGTGTGACCAGTGACCTGAGAAAAGCATTGGACTGGCACATAACAGTAAGACAAGAAGGGAATGTATAATTTCTCGACAGGAATCCGAATCATTCACTCGTAGGACTTCAAACACAACCACTTTTACAACAATACCCATGCGCTCAAAAGGACTTGCAACTTTCTTTGGAACGAAGAAAAAAAAGGCGGACCGAGGTGCAACGAAGAACATTTTTGTACAGGACACCAACTCTCTCTCAAGGCTTTATTTTTCACCACGTCCTTAACGTTCTCGTTTATTGTTACCATCTGTATCGTCATGTAAACTTTTACTTTCAAGTATTCTCATTATGTATTGGAAGTTTGTTGCACCAGACCATAGAATTATCCTTTTGAAATGAGTATTACCTTTTTATATTTGGACATTTATTTTGGTTATTCTTTTGTATCCTCATCAGTATTTGCATATTACGATGAAATGGATGTATCTGCCTTTTTCTAATTTAATTTTTTTTTGCAAATGTTCATTCCTGGAGAGGGAGTCTTTTCGTGTCGATGGAACGTCAGGGTCGGGTTTTGCCACAAAGACATTATTGCCTTGCAGAATGGACATCTGTTGCCTTTCAAAATCCATGTGTGTGAATGCGAGGTGAGTGTGTGTGAAACTACAAAAACAAATATGTGGATTTGAGAAGTGTTCTTATTTTTCTCCACTGGGATTGCGACGGTACTGACAAATACAACGGAAAGCAAGCTTATTTTTTCAAGTGCATAAAAAGGAATGGACAGAATATTGGTTCCTGCCATCTCGGACGGCACCAAGGCTTTAACGTGGATTATTGCCCCGGTGTGAACAGATTCAGCAAATGGAAGATTATGGAGATAAAAGCAGAACTTTGGACGTCTCCAGCAAACTTGATGTATTTAGGAAAATATTTCAAGGCGTCACACAGAGTCCCAGTATCCATCCAAAAGAAGAATTGCCATAAAACTTCAAAGTTCAAAGTTGTTCATGGTGTTGTCTTTATTACTTTTAACGTTATTCTTGTAAAAAAAAAAAAAAAAAATCTCAAAGAACAGTTACACTATCAGAACCATGCTGTATTAGAACTTGTCAATATGTATATGAACTATGAATACACTCAAAATGCTTCAACCATGTTTCACTTGTTCATTTACAGTTTTGCTTTTTGTTCTGTAGAGCCAGTAAGACGTCAAGTGACGGGGAGAAAAGACTTGACCAGTTTGAAAAGGAAATAAGTTCCATCAGTGATTCATTATTATTGAGAAGAATGAGATAATATCTAAACTGGTGGCGGACAGTTTAGTTTAGAGCTAATTTCTTTAAATCCTGAGCCAATCCCTATGAAACACAATGTTCCACACCTTTTTCAGCACATATCAACTATGGTCGAATTTTCTAAACATTTTCTAGTGTCTAAAAGACCAAGATGTTGGTCAGTATAAAGAACTTTCAGACATAAGATTACTATGGCAGATTTTGTGCGAGTAATCATGATAAAATATTCATATTTTAAACATATTTTTAATTATATTTAATTTTATTGACCTTTTATTAAACCTGGAAAGTCGGACTGAGATTGCAGAATCTCTTTTTTCAGGGGAGTGCTGGCCCCAGAGTGGGGGAGGGTGTTATTGGAAACTATTGTACATGGTTTTAGTGGTAGAGGAAACTGGAGCACAGCAAATCCACACAGACATGGGGAGAACATGCAAACTCTACACAGAAAAGCTAAGAGGGGGAATTAAACCCAGGACCTTCTTTCTGTGAACCACAAGTGCTAACCACTGAAACAGAACAGATATAGAATAATAGAACATGAACGCAACCTATTCATCGGTCACATCCAAAATCTACAGGTCAGATCCGTGGAGAGGTTCCCAAAGATGAATATTGCAAAGATTTCTGAGGGATAGAAATCGGCGGAGGCGAGAGGGCAAAGATGAGTGGAGCCAAGTCAAATGAAAATGAAAGCAGATGTGAGTGTTTTGGATTTATATACAGGATTAAAGGGTGTGTTTGTGCGAGTGTGTGAAGTGCCCTCTCCAGGATTGTATCATAAAGACGATTGGAGGGCGCTGGCAGAGTTCACTGAGGCGGGCGCTTTGATGGTGGCCAAGACGGGAGGACATAAAGTGGGCCACTCCAAATGAGGTGAGTGCTTCTTGTTTCTTTCTCTGATTGTGGCTTTGCTTGACGTCTTTAGCGAGCCTGAGCGTGAGGGCTTCCATGACGTATGACTCTGTTCTTGATTTGGATCTGCTGCATTCTCTCTAGTTACCTGCAAGTGTTGATTCTTAGTGACTGCTCAATGTCTGATGGTGATTAGTTTTACAAATCCACCGGTTCCCTGTAACGGACACTTGTCAAACTCGGGCTCGTGGGCCATATCCGGCCTGCAAGACCATTTTAGTGGCCACTAAATTATTATTATTGATTTGCAGCATTGATGGTTATGGGTTTACCAAGACATGCTCCTCATATCATGTGGCTTGTGTCTCTGTATTTTACAACATAAAAAAGACAGAAAGTAAGATTAAGAGATACTTTATTCGTCCCATGGGGGGAAAATTTCAGTGTTGCATCACAAGTTACAGAAAAGTAGGAATGAGGAGCAAACAATACAAGAAGTTGTTCATTTTGTTTTTATTTGAAGAAAAATAAATATATGTTCTGTGAGATGGGATTTTTAGACTCAAAGCAAATAAAAAATCTATTAAAAATAAAACCAGGAATGCATAATTCTCAATTCTAAAGGTGAAATAGTTTAGTCTGGAAATATAATCAACTAAAATGTCTTAATTGAAATGTAGATAAAAATCTAATTATTAAATCACCATTGATTTAAATGAAAGACTTTTACCAGATTACCTAATGGATTTTTATACCATACCAACTTTATTATTAAGCACCTTCAACACTTTATAGCCCACTAAAGTGCAGTACACAAACAGGAAAACATAAAAATATCAATAATAAACAAGATTATCAACATCACAATATATTCAACACCCATAGAGACAAAGAAGAAGTCTTAAAGCTGGGGTACCTAACTTTTTAAACCCATTAAGGGTACATTTTGTTTGTAAAAGTAAACATTTGTGAAGAAATCAGGCCACATTGTGCTCTCATTATTAGAAAACATCTTGTATTTTGTGTACCTTTAAGAAAGAGCCAACTATTAGAGCCAACTATTAGAGCCAACTACTGTAGAACTATTTGACACTTTTGGCTGCAAGGGTTATTCTCTATTTTTCACTTATCTTCATTTCTTTCTGAAAATGTTGATCTAAAAAAGTGAAAAAGGCCTTAATACTTGCATGTGAAAACTAGTGATATGTAAAACCAGCAGAAATTTGCATGGATTTTATTTCAAAGTTAATTTATTTGTGGTTAGAAAGTCAGGCGCCCCAGCTTCTAAACTTTAGGGAATGTGATCGTTTGCACATACATTCATACAAACAAACTCAAACTGGACTGATTTCTAATTCACATCATGATAGCTGCTACTGCTATACCCCATAATCCTCACTTGGGGCAGATAGATGTTCAAAATGAATGAGTCATTAGCCCCATTTCCACCAGCCCTACTCGACTCTACTCTGCTCTACCTGGTTCTGTTTCCATTATTCTTTTGTATCCATACCGGATCCTGGTTCTGGTAAAACGGGGCCGGTGGGAGATAGATAGATAGATACTTTATTGATCCCAGTAGGAGACATTGATGTGTCCAGTATCAGCAGAAACACATCCAACCATACAGACAAAACAAATAAATGCATAATTCTAAAAGTAGCTAACAATAGTAACAGAGTTGGGTAGAGTAGAGTAGGGCTTTTTTTATAAATTGATCTTTGATGTTTAATGGAGTAAGCCTCAGTTCAGAAGGTGCGCTGTGATTACTGTGGTCCTCCTCAGGCATGGCGTTCCTGCAGCAGATGCGGTCCCCCCGGCTGTCCTTCATCCAAACCCTGCTGTCTCTGTTCCTTGCGACTTTGGCTCTGCTCTCGTCAAACTGGTGCGTGGGCAAACAGAAGGTGCCCAAGCCCCTGTGCACGCCCACCAAGCACAGCAACTGCATCCCAGTCCCAGGGGTCTCCAACTCCAGCAACATCCAGTTCTCCTGGGAGACCGGCGACGACCGCTTCGTGTTCCCCGTGTTCCACACCGGACTCTTCATCACGTGTGAGGAGAACATCTACTCAGACCAATGGGGTGAGCCGCTCTGGAAGTCAGCTGTTCATGTTCTAGAAGTGTGTTGCAGTGAGAGAGCTGGCGCAAATGTACGGAAATATGAGAACAACATTTTTTTGAAGGAAGCGCCGAAAAATAAAATGTCAATATTTTCCCTGATTCACAAGATAAGATAATCATTTCTTTTTTCAAACTTTTATTTAACACCATCTGATACAAATCTAAAACATAAATGACAATATACAACACAGTAGTGCTGTTGGTGAAGGAGGGAACGGGGTGTATTTTTAACATCCAAGGCAATAAGCAAAAAACTAATATAAGATAGACCTTTTTATTGTCCCACAGTGGGGAAATTTCAATGTCAACGTTGCACACATAACAGCAGGATATAAGAATGTAAGAGATAAAATTAAATAAAATAGTAAAGTAATAATATACTAATTATACTAATGTCTGTTATTTCTTTCTACTTGCCAACATCAACTTCTTTTCCCGTTAAAAAGAGGATTTAAAACTCAGTGGGACTTTCTAAACTAGAAATATAATGCTTTTGAAACTCTGCTCCAGTTTTCAAACGCTCTCGCTTGAAACCAGAGATATACAAAACAACTGATGGGAAAACAATTGTTGAAGATGAACTGCTCAATTTCCTTTGTGTAAAAATGAAGATTATGAGCCAGGATGAGATTATTATTCTGGCTGCTAACACATTTGACTCCGAGTGGATTGAGGCCTCCAAGAAGGCCCTCTTTGAGCTCTGCCCTTCTTCGCAAAGGAATGTCACACACAAGGGAGCGCAGAAAGATGCCAACAACATCAAAAGCTGCCTTAAAGTATTAAATGAGTGTGGGGAGAATATTCCCAGATTTGTTTCCTATTATCTGGATGAGCTCCCTCCTGTCACGTTTAATAGTCTGGACGTCTCATGTCTATTAACAAAAATGGAGCAGATGGCCGCAGAAGTTGGCGCTTTAAAGCAAATAATGAACTCACAAGTCAGCATTACTAGTGATCTGCGCATTGCTGCGAGCGGGATCTGCAACCGGGTGTGCTCCCTGGAGAGGGAGCGCAATGAGCGGGCCTGGCCCGCTAACGTGGAGGTAGCAGCTGTCACGACGCAAGCTATGCCTCTTGTGTCTGCTGTGAAAGAGGTCCTGACCCATGGGGAGAAAAGTGCAGCGGAGACAGCGACTCCGACAGTACCGGCTCCGGAGGTGTATGCAGGGACCGCTGCGGAGAGGAGTTTACGGGGGCAGCAGTCGCCAAAGTGGAGTGAGGTTGTGAAGAGGAGCCGGCGCGCAACAACCGATGAAGCTAATGCAGTACGCACGGGACAGGGGAGGAAGCCACGGGCCACTAAGCCTATCGTTGGCACTGGGACTGTGGGCAGCATCCGAACCATACAGACCAAACTGGTGAGTGTGTTTGCTTCTCGATTTTCACCTGATCTGGAGGATGTAACATTAGCGGAATACTTAAAGAACAAACTCAACCGGGATGTATCATGCCAAAAGATCACCACGGCGCACAATCGATTCAGTTCATTTAAAATATCTGCGGAGTGTAATGACGTAAATGAGATGTATGACCCTGATCTGTGGCCAGAGGGTGCACTCGTTCGGCGGTACTATGAGCCGCGTCGTGTGGGGTACAACAGGGGTGAGCTAGGCGCAGGTGACCCTGTGGGCAGTGCGCGCAATGGCACCGCTGTGGTACCCTAAAATGCAGCTATGGATTTACGTCTTCTGACTTATAACTGTCGGGGCCTACGGCTTGGAAACAGTGCTGCGGATAAAGCTCGTCGCTTGGTTGTCGATGGACTTTTGCAAAATTGCGACATACTGTGTTTGCAAGAGACTTTTTTTATCTCAACAAGACTTGCAAAAGCTGAACTCGTTTAATGAGTATTTTCATGGGGCTGGTGAGTCCACTACTGATTTTAACAGGAGTATTGTCATGGGTAGAATAGCAGGGGGTGTGGCAATACTCTGGAGAAAGTCTCTTGATACATGCGTTAAAGTTGTCAGACTTGGAGTTGACTGGTGTATTGGTCTACATTTTACTTGTGATGATAAAGAATTTATAATAGTTAATGTCTACACTCCGTATGAGTGCAAACAAAATGAAGATGTATATTTAGATAAGCTGGCCTTTTTGCATGCGTTTGTTGAAGACAGCCCTGTATCTAGTGTTTACATTGTAGGAGACATGAATGCAGACATTGCAGACATGACTTCCTTATTTGGTAAACATTTGCTACAATTCTGTGAGGATCATGACTATATTCTATCTAGCAGATGTTTACTTCCTATAAAGAGCTACACATATATTAGTGAGGCTTGGCATACAACCTCATGGTTGGACCACTGTATAAGTACAGCTGATGCACATGTCTCCCTGGCATCTATGCAAATACTTTACAGTGTTGTTACTGGAGATCATATTCCTATCTCTTTTAATATACACGTTGACCAGTTACCAGGACTGACAACACACAATGGCCCAGTTAAGCAGGGGAGGCTGGACTGGACAGCTTGTACACAGGAAGACCTCCTGTCCTATTTTACTAGATCTGACAAACTTTTAAGCAGTATACATGTTCCACACAATGCTATTAGATGTACTGACACTAATTGTGTTGAAGTGGACCATAAAATGGATATCTGTAGTTTTTATGATAATATTATCAGTGTTTTGTCTAAAAGTAGTGAATGTTTTTATAAAAAAGTTCAACATAATCACAAAAAGCGACCAGGCTGGAATATGTATGTAGCTGGGTATTACGAGGAAGCACGGGAAGCTACAAGAGAATGGACTGTAGCAGGGAGACCGAGACATGGCACTATTTTTGAGAATAAAAAGATTACCAATGCCAGATACAAATATGCTATTCGATTTATCTCAAGAAATGAACAAAGTATGAGGTCAGATTCATTGGCCAGTAAACTTACATCCAGCAATATTATGGATTTTTGGAAAGAGGTGCGAAATCTCAACAGTAGTAAAACATCTCTACCTTGCACTGTAGATGGTATCTCTGGCTCAGAAAACATAGTTGGATGCTGGAAACGACATTATTATAATCTGTTCAATTGTGTCCACAGTGATATGTTTAATGCTGGCACAATTGACCAAAGTGAATATGTACCCATAAGTGCCCATGAGGTGTATCAAGCAATTCAAAAGTTACCGGCTAATAAGTCCTGTGGTGCTGATAACATTTATGCTGAGCACCTGATACATGCCAGCAAAAGACTTTGTCCTCTGCTGGCCATTTGCTTCTCTAGCTGTTTGACACATGGAATTCTCCCAGACTCACTTCTCTCTGTCACGCTTGTCCCAGTCTTAAAGGATAAAGCTGGTAGAATGGGTAGTTTGGACAATTATAGACCAATCGCACTGGCAAGCATATTGTCTAAAGTCTTGGAGAAAATACTGTTATCTCGATTACAAGATTATATCTGCTCCACAGACAACCAGTTTGGCTTTAAATCTAAACATGGTACAGATTTATGCATATTTGCTCTCAAGGAAATAATAAGAAAATATAAAAGTCAAACATCATCTGTTCTTCTGTGTTTTATCAATGCATCTAAAGCATTTGATCGGGTAAATCACTGGAAATTATTCTCAAAGCTGAACGAGAGAGGGGTGCCTCGTTATATTGTGAGAGTTTTAGTATACTGGTATGCCCATCAGGTAATGCAGGTGAGATGGGGTAGATCCATGTCGGATCCATTCTCTGTTAGTAATGGTGTCCGGCAGGGAGGAATTCTCTCTCCTGTTTTATTCTCCCTGTATATGAATGATCTGTCCTTAGAGTTAAGTGCATGTAAAACGGGCTGTATGATTGGGCCAATCCAGGTGAATCATCTGTTGTATGCGGATGACCTTGCTGTATTCAGCCCTAGTAGTGCAGGTCTACAGGACCTTCTCAATGTCTGCTCTAAGTATGGTGTAGAGTATGATGTAAGGTATAATGCAAGCAAAAGTATGATAATGTTATGTAGAACTAAAGATGATGTAAATGTAAACTTTCCCCAATTTAAATTGTGTGGTGTTGAACTAAGTGTATGTTCCAAATATAAATACTTGGGCCATTTTATTTGTGATGATCTGTCTGATGATGAGGACATTCTCAGGCAATGTCGTATGTTGTACGTTCAGGCGAACATGCTGGTGCGCAAGTTTGGTGCCTGTACAGCGCAGGTGAAAAAGACACTTTTTAAAGCATACTGTACGTCATTATACACGGCACATTTATGGACCAAATACAAAAAAGCAACCATCCGCAAACTCAATGTGGCATACAATGACTGTCTGAGGATTTTATTGAAAAAGCCACGATGGGAAAGTGCAAGTACTTTGTTTGTGTCAGCTGGAATAAGGACATTCCAGGCCGCCATGCGATGTTTGATGTACAGTTTTATTTGTCGGCTCAATGAAAGCCAGAATTGTATTGTCATAAGCCTGACAAATGTCAAATTCAGTGCCATACGGTACCAGTCAGATCTGTGGAGACACTGGTACAGCTGTTTGCTCTGAGAAGTGAGGCTTATTGTTGTGATTACATGTGTTGTTTTGTGTTTTTATGTGATGTGTGTTATGTGTTATGTGTCTTATCCTGGACCCTGAGTCTGTAATAAAGTTTGATATTGTCACCACTTCTCTCCACTTTTATGTGAAATCTAGTTTAGACCATAGTTAATAAGTGCTGACAAAGAAGATGTGACAATTTCTGAATTAGCTCAGGAATTAGAGAAATGAGCCCTTTTGAGATTTACCCTAGTTACCAAGAAAGATTTCTCAGCTACTCTCCACCACACTGTTAAACTACAGTAAGACCTCTTTGGAATGTTGTGACGTCACATGAACGCAACCTATCGAGTCCATTCTGATTCTATGTCAGAGGCTAGTGAGCGCACACCAATATTTCCAGCTCAAGTTCAATAAAATGGATCCGTTTCTTGCTTTGTTTTGGCTGAGAAAGCAATGCACGCCCTGTTTTGTGGTTCGTGTGGCCAATATTCCCAAGGTGACACGAGGATCAACAGTTTGAGTACGTGAGGTTAGCCGTCAAGTAGGTCAGAGGACATAAGCCCCAGGTGTTTTCATATGTGTGACCGTGATTTCTGTATGTGCGCTGCAAAGAGGATTTCCCCGACTCTGTGCACAGCCAAAGAGATTTAGATTTTAGACAACATGACTCAATTATGGATTAGAAAGAGGTAAGAGAAAGGTTAATAGGATTCACAAACAAGCTGCCATAATTCACTTTCATATTATTTGAAACAGATTGTGTATTTTGTAACTAGAAAACCCTATAATGATGTAAAGCAGTGGTTTATAAAGCGTTGGGGGATCGCCAGAAAGATCACAAAGCGTAAGATATTTATGATAGTTTAAAATCATCTTAATGCGGATGATGTTTGAACTATAGGTCGCATGTTTCCTACACACTTAGTAAAAATGCACGTTCAGCATTTCTAAATAAAATGTCAAATTGATTTTAGGATGAATTGTCGAGACGAGGCAGCGGCAATTGCACCCGCATCGCAACATGGGTTATTTTCGAGTTCTTTCAGATGGAACACAAGGAGAACACACTTTTTATATGTTTTGTATCAATGTGCCATGAGAACAGAAGACGTCACCACTTATATAGCGATATAAATGACTCATGCTTAAGATATAGATACTTTAGTAACAAATATGTTCAATTCTTCAGTTAATTAAGTTTTAGTAATAATACAGGTATAACAGGGGTCCACAGTACACGTTATGCAGGTCATCTTACACAGAATCCATGCTGCCACCTGAGAATACATTTCACAGTTCACAAATTCGCACCAATCTACATATTATTGCTTAGCGTGTTCCCTCAATGATGTACTTACTTTTATTCTAATGTTATTTTTTCAGAAGAGAAGTGCAGAGGACTGTATGCATTGACACCTGCTTCTGAAAAAGGTAGATCTATTTCTTACCATGTAGTCTCTAATCCAGGGGAGTCGGGGGCCAAGTTTAGAAATATAAGGGTGGGTTGGGGGGGCGACAGTGGCTCAGTGAGTAGAGCATTGGGCTATTATTTTCTAGTAGGTTTAGATTCAATCACCACTGGGCCAAATATGAAACATCTTTAGCCAAACTTAACTTCTAATGACATATTAGTAAACATTTTTTTGAACAGATTTCATTACATGGTTGTTTTACTGCGAAAATAAGATTTAAAATGAAGTACCACAATCCATAGTATCCCATCAACCCATCAATGCTGCAAGTTACTGTAATTGCACCTTTTTGGACTGTATTTGACTTTTAGTAATTTGCACTTTTTTTAAACTGTATGTTAATATGTAGCCTGGTACTAAATCTGGTGCAGTCATGTTTTCAATGCAACTGCACATTGTCCATCAAAAGTTAAACTTAATAATAATCATTTTAGGAGCCACTAAAAATGGTCTTGGGGCCTGGATATGACCCACAGGCCTGAGTTTTACATGCCTGCTCTGATGGAATGCAGGATTGTCAGCTGTGACGTGTGTTTTGTCCTCAGCCATGATGTGGCTGTATCTGACCTTGGAGTTGATGTACATCGGGCTCCTGCTGATCAGCTGTGTCCTACTGTCGGCTCAGTTGTGCATGGGGGCCTTTTTCCCCTCCACGCAGCGCTGGGGCCAACTGCTCAATGCGTTCGCTGCGATTTTCACTGTACTGGGAGGTAGGACTGTAGATGAATCACCAGTGCTCTTGTGTTTGTGCTAAATGTGTTGATGTGGCTGGTCTCAGGTCTGCTGGGCATGGTGGGCCACATGATGTTCATGCAGGTGTTTCAGACCACGGCTTCAATGGGACCAGAGGACTTCAAACCCCACAGCTATGGATTCTCTTGGGCATTTTAGTAAGTGCTGCTTCATTAGTTTCTGTACTCTTGGCCATTTCATTTGAACTTCTCCTGTAGGCAGATTAAGATGAAAAGATCCTCGTCCCACAGTCACATTTCAGAGAGTTTTCAGTGTTGCATCACCGGTTACAAAACAGTAGGAATGAGGAGAACACAACGCAAAATAAATGAACGATAACTCTATACCAGGGATGTTAAACGCATTTTGGTTGGGGCCAAACTTAAAAACATACGACCTGGTTGGTGCCAAAAAAAAACACTTAAATATAAATGTCTTTTTACAAATTAACCGTATTCAACAGTTTGGATGTTATTTTCTGGTAGGTTTGGCATCAACCACAACTGGCCAAATATCAAGAAGAGCTGTATTTTAAGACTGATATTAAATTTTTTATTTATTTATTTATAAATAACTTCTATTTACATTTCAGTACATATTTTAGAACAGATTCAATTATTTGGTTGTTTTCCTGAGAAAGTAGGTTTTATTTATTAGGCAATAATAAGTATCATATGCCACAGTATCCCATTACCATCAATTCTGCTAGTTACTGCAATAAAGACAATTGAAAATCATTTCTAAAATTGGTCTTGCAGGCTAAATTTGGCCCACGGGCCTGAGTTTGACATGCCTGCTCTATACTAAAATGAAATAAAATTTGAAAACAGTCTGTAACCGGACCCCTGGCCCCTGTGCTCCTCAGCGTGGCATGGTTGGCCTTCACCGTGAGTATGTCCGCTGGAGTGTCCACTCTCAACAACTACACCAAGAAGTTCATCATGGTGGGGCCCCGGCACATGTCCAGCCTCAACGCCTGCAGCTTTAAGTTTGTGGGACTGCCACCGCCTGCCCCGTATTACTCCCCCCCAGCTGCGTGTCCGTCCTCTCCCCCGCACCTCTCTCCTCTGTCCCCGTACTACGAGCCTCCAGCCACCGCACCATCCATGTCCTCCGCCTTGAAGCCGTCTCCTCACCTCCACCACTCACTGTCGTTCCCCCCTCCCCCGTCTCAGTCCCCTCATCACCGCCTGTCCTTACCCTCTCCTTTCCCCTGCCCCGCCACAGCCATGCCCGTGTCTATGTACTCGCCCCGTTTTCAACGTCAAGATATATTCTCTGGCTATGACGAAGATGATGACGACAGTCCTCTTTGAATAAACAGCATTACTGTAGATTAGTCTGATAGGTTTGTTATTACTCACAATATCAGTCATGTTGTGTTTTTGCTTTTCTTGTTGCCTTGCGTAAGCGTTGCCAAAGGGCAACGCTGTTCACCCTGTTTTCAATGTCTAATAGTAATGTTATTATTAAATCTAATTTGAAACTATTTCAAATCATATACTGTACAACTAACTACCGCTGTCCAGGAGCTCGAGTCTTCTTCATCTCAGTTCAAATCACCACATCAGTGTATTTTGTTTAAACTTTAATATCCTATAAAGTTGTATAAAGAGAATAGTTCAGAGCATTACAAGAAACATTTTTATGTACATATACAAAGAACTCTTAAATCAACTGCATAGAAATGTGAAAATATGAAACTTTAAAACATATGTAAATTAGCAAATTTATACAAAATTCAACTTTGTCGTAATTTGGATACAATTCTGGAATGTACATTCATGTTTAAGTTTGACAGATATAAAAATATTCTTAAACTGACTTGATAAAAATAACCTTTTACTGATTGTTTACAAACCACACATTATTAATTTTATTATATGTGGGTTTTAAGCAAATTTTTGTCTTGGAGGTTGTGTTTGTTTATTGTGGAAAATAACATCAGCCCTATTTAAACAATGTATACATCGAAAATACCACAGATGTGTTTTAGGTCAGAAACACGACTAAATATGACTTTAGTCGAACATGGTCAAGACAACAACAGTACTTTTGTTCAAAAATACTCCTAGTTCAGGTTTACGTCCAGTCACTTGTGGCCGGCTGCTGGGATCATGCTGTCTTTTTACGTAGCACAAAGTAGGTGATGGATGAGATGAACGTCAGACCAAAGGCGATCCAGGCCAAGATGAAGGAGTGACCGTAGTTGCCGTTATTCTCTTCGAGGTGAAAGCGGTCCGTGTAGATGGAGGCTGCGATCATGATGCACAGACCTGGAGGAAGATCTCTGTATGAATAACTTGTGACTAACAGCATCCAGCTCCAGACTTATAGCTTCACTCACATGCGAGGAACTGGAAGACGCCGGAGATGGTGAACCTGTTGCCCTTGGTTAAAGTGAAGAGCTGTGCGACGAACACGAAGATGCCCAGAATGGAGAATATACAGGCAAGCACTGAGCTGGCCTGCACCGCCTGGAGGTATTCTGTAGAGGGAGCCAGAGAAAAGTATGGACCAGTCAGTCAAGATAATTGCAGTAGAGGATGACAGATAAAATGTGATGTTGGCTTCAAATACTATTGTTTAATTTAAACATGTAATATAATGTTTTCATTTATTTATTTATTTTGTCTTTATTTTATGTATGCTTTGTTTTATTTTATTCATTTCTCTTTTTTGGCACAAGTGAAGCATAGTGGAGAATAAAGGATAAAATCAAATGTGTCTCGTTACGATGTATGTATAATGAGGAAAAAAGTGAACTAATGAAGATGACACAATAACGTAATGAAGAAACTGAAGAGAAACTCGTAATGTACATTTCATAATGGGAATTTGAATCATTTTTATTGCCATGTAAATAACAGGAAGTCACAGACTAGGAAATTGCTTTGGCTCTCGGTGCAAACAAGTCAAAAGTAGAGAAAGAATAATTCCTAAAATGTAAATAACTAGAAAGTTCATTTATATTGTGTTTCAGACTCTGGTTCCAAAAGCTTAGTTTAGAATATGTGAAAAACATGCATGTTTCTTTTGCAATCTCAAAGGTGCTTGGATTGTCAAAAACAAATACATAGATTACTTTGGAGACGCATTCCACAGTTTTGTTATGAGTAGCAACTGCATTCTTAGTCAATGTGCTGACAGCTTTTTGTGGCAGTCTGTTGAATATGCACACCATGACAAAACGATCAGATATTAAAGTGATGGCAACAGAATAAAAAATATATATATATTAGACGGCTAATTGGTGTTTCAACGATTTTATGAATTGGTTTTTATATACCTTGATATAAAAGCATCACATTTTTTATATGTATGCTTCTGCGTAGTATCGTAATTAAAAGATGAAACAGAAGAATGCGTACATTGATCATTGCACCAATATTTAACATAGCTTTGGAATCACAGCTATGATTCAGGAGTGAAAATCAACAGACTTCTTCACAGACTTACCCTTTGGATAGTGAGAGGGCAGATCAGTTAAGTTCCACACCCCATCTGTCTCAACCCAGCGTCCCCAGATATCCGTGTATATATCAGAAGTCACCCACCAGGCCTAGAGGATTCAAAGAAATGAATATTATTAGAGTATGGCAGTTTTCTAATGTTTCTAGCGTAGAGTATGAAATAAACACAGTGTTCTGTGTTCCCTGTGCAGGAATCTCACTTATTTAGCTTTTTATGTTTAAGATATTTACTCCGGTGACGACGAGCCACGTGTCAACCAGAAATGCTAACTATTCAAGCCTGGGGATCAGAAGAAGTCTCAGAGTGATGACAGAGATGTGAGCACACACTGGAAGGACTGTTTTCGTTGATACTTTTCCCAAATTAAATATAGAGAGATTGAAGATCAGTAATTGTAAATGATCACATCGAGATATTTTTTTTTCTTACATTGTCAATAGTGGCCACCAAGAGGATGACGATGGCGATGATGTGAAGGGCAAAGATGGCAGCGAGAAGGATCAGCATGGTGGCTTAGCTAGAGGGGAGAAAAGATACATAACAAGTCAAACCGCTTTGCAATCGACTGCACAGAAAGACTGCAAGCGCTCAATGTATTATGATGAGCAGAAACACTAGACGCAGAAGTTATTTGTGACGTATTTTGTAAATTCATGAATGTTAGATTTTAACTCAGGGTGTGGCCTCCCAACTTCTAATTACTTCTCCTTTAACACAAGCCTCTGTAAATACTATAGTCACTGTCGGTTATTCAAATGAATGCAAAGCTTGGTTATGTTTGCGCGTGTAGACTTGAAATTTTGTCTTCTGTCCTCAGACTGACCAGTTGAAAGGAGAGAGGTTGCATGGCGGGAAACACATACAGTACAGATGAGTTCGAACACGTCTTTTGTGCTGTCAAAATACACGCCACTCCTTAAAATAACTGTCGAGAATACCTGGCTCAGTGGCCCACACCCCATCCCTCCATTGTGAGGCAATTTCACACAAACGGCTTCCCATTCAGCAGCTCAAGCATGTCACCTGCCCTTTTCTCTATGATATTCCTCATATATTAGGGATAGAACACATTAGTGCTTGTGTATCCTTATAGACTCAAGAACAGTAAGAAAAAAGTGCCACTATCCAAGTTACAATAATAGTATGAATTGGGAAATTACATTACATATTTTATGTTTCAAAAACGGCTATTCTAAAACAAGTATTCCTGCTATTTCCATTCTTGAGGTGGAGCCCAAGGTGCATCTGGAGTAGACCAGTTGTGAGACTAGGAGTGGCCAGGGCTGGGTCTATGTGCTACGTTTGCTTCCCACAAAACTCCAGACGTACACAAGGGCTCTTTTCATCTCATAAAAAAAAAACAATTATTATTGAAGTTTAGAACATGCACATCTGCTGTCCACAATATACAGACTGAGCCCATAAAACTCAAGCCAATGCAAAAACTTCAAAATCAGCACGAGTCTGACTCCAGGGAGGCCTGCTCTAGAATATAAATGTTTGGTTTGAATGGTAGCAATCCAAGGAGCGCACATGGAGGCAATCATGTGGCTTTTTGTAAGTGGAAAATAAACACGTCTCACAGGGCGGCCTAACTTTAGCCAGCAAAAAATAACCTCACAATAAAAGTAACTTGAGAAATGTTCTTTTTCCTCCTCAGCTTTGACAACAAATACATTCTGAAGGCTTTACAATGCAATACAGTGATATTAAAGCTGTATATAACAATAATCATACATGGGTAGAAAGTAAAAAAGTACTCACGTTTTTGTTGGGTGACTATCTCCTCTCAGATCTAAATCCCTCTGCAACTCACGGATACTAACTTTCCAGCCTAAATGCACATCAGTAGAAGTTACCCATCCGCCCTCTTTTGCCCAGCCTTTTTTTTTTTTTTTCAAAACACACACCCCTCCATTTGAAACCTCCCCCTTTTTCTTCCGTTACGTCTTCCCTCTACCCAGACCCCTCCTTCTGTGCCGTAGTCTGCAAAGTTACTTCCACATCTGATCAAGATTTGCCCACTTTGTCATTCGGACATTCTGTTTCTCTGGTATGGCTGACTCACTGGTGTTTGGAGAAGCAGGGGGCTCCCAGCACTGTGTACCGCCGCTGCCATGGCGACAGACTACAGCCGGCTGTAATCATAGTGTCATTGTGTGCATGTAAACACTGGCAGCACTACATCACAGAGAAATGCGGTTTTCTCCCTGGACAACACCCTTGTAGATCTCTGTTCCCGCTTCTTGTTGCTGAGGAAGAAGTTTTCGGGTTGAATGAGTGTTGTTGGTTACCATGGTGAGGGCGTGCTTGAAACCTGGGGAGAAGGAAAGAGATGGTAGATATGAGCTCGAGTCTCATGTGTCACAGTGTCGGGGCATTGTGGCCGGTGACTAACAAAGTCCTAATAATAACTTTGGGAATGTGGGATTTCTAAATCTTATATATGAGGAGGGAGCAAAGAACTCCCCAGATGTGCTTTATATCATCACACTGGAAAATCTGATCAAATAAATGTTTTATTCTAGTCAAATAAAACAAGATTAAGCCTTAGAATCAAATATCAAAGAAAAGATGTTTCAGTGCAAATTATATTACAACAAATGCAACACTTTAGTTTAGCTGAAGGGCTTTGTGGTGCTTAATACCTGCAGGGGAAGTGTCTAATCTCCGCTCCTAAGCAGGATAGGTCCAGGTTAGTATTGTGATGGGAGACCTCTGGGAACAACAGATTCCAAAGTGAGGCGGCTGTAAAGTCCCAAACTGTTGTGCCCTGAGGGAAGACACTTCACCCACACTTCCAAGAATGAGAGTAGTGTGTAAGTGATTGATGGTGGAGTTGGAGAGGCTGATTACTCGTCGTGATTCCCTCAGTCTGCCCCTGTGCTGTGGCTACAGAATATTTTAACACCAGAGTATGGAGTGAATGAATAATGCTGTGTGACGGGTGATCAATATAGCAGCCTATGATATCTAATTTAGTGAAACAACGTACTTTTGTTCTCACTCCTACATTTAATGAACCATACAATTATCAAAAAAGTGGGCTGTAAATGTTTTTTTCTATGTGTAGATTGTCCTAAGTCTTAAGTTAATGTTATTTGTCTTAATACATAAATCTTTCTAAATTGTTACCAAGGTGCACCTGAAGTGATAAAAAAAAGAGATGAATCTAAACCTTGGGCTTGAACGATCGGTGGAAGCTTAGTCTGTGTCTGTTCTTGTTTTCTTGCATAGCTCACGGAAAAATGAGTTTGACAACTATAGGCATTTCAGAATTAAAAGAATGTGGTGAAATTCCTGCGGTCACAAATTGACAGGAAGTGGAAAAGAGACTTAAAATGTCCCAAAATGACAACTATGAAACAATACAGTACAAGTCATATAAAGGCATGTCCGAACATTAAGCGTAGATAAATGCCATAATATGTTGTAATATTCAGAGTACGTTGGCGGTAAAACCCTTTGGCACTAAGTTGACGTCCATACTTTAATCTCAATAGTTGGATGGGCCACTAAAAACCTTAAAACATATGGGAAGCCAAATGTGAAAAAATTAAAGGTTAGTTTACTGTATAGCTGCCACTCGGTAGAATCATGATAAAAATAACATATACATAGATTTTATTTGGACTTCTGTAACTTGCAAATACAGTTGGGACTCTCTGGGTAGTGTCTATTGAAACACAGGTGATAGAAATTGTTTTGGCATCACCAGAACATACAGGACATGCGGTGAAATGTGAGTCCTCTTTGTGGTGTGAGCTCAGTCGGTTTGTGGGGAAAAAAAAAAGCCTCTGATCGCTTCATCATCTCGACAAACAAGAGTTAGTCATATGTTACTCTGTCAGGGACTTGCAGCTCTGGGCGAGAGATAATAACAGGCTATAGCACAGGTAATTTACAACACTGCCCTGTCCACTCTTGGGTGCAGATAACAGAAGTCGTTTTATTTAATTAGCATATTTCATCTTCTTTAAAGCAAAAATCCATACGCAGTTTTGCTTGATAACACAGTGTCACAATGTTTAGAATGATAAAATAGCTTGGTTACTCATCAGTACTGGAATCTTTGTTATATAGCGCGTTTCACAGACCAGAGTCACAAAGCGCTTTACAATAGTGGTGGGCATTTGTCTCACTCCACACAGAGCTGGGAGTGGGGGCGCCGGACAGAAGGGGCATGTACTTATTTTTAGTGGTAGGGGAAACTGGAGCACACGGACACGGGGAAAACATGCAAACTCCACGCAGAAAGGTCTGGAGGTGGAATTGAATCCAGGACCTTCTTGCTGTGAGGCACAAGCACTCAGCATTGCACCACCGTGTACAATCCAATCCTATAAGACACAATTCATCTTTATTGCAAGTTAAGGAAATTACTCAGAACACGAACAACAAAAAGCCTCTGAACAAATAACAAAATTGAGACAAAAAACAACTGTAGAAAAGAATCACCGTACACACACACACACATACACAGGCCTAAACACTCTCTGACCCATCATCCACCCCCAGTTTGGAGAGCGAGGCATTATCATACATGGTTCAGTGTACGTGATTAGAATCTGAAGCTGATATGAGCCGTGAAGAGCTACAAGAAGAGCGTGGTGCGAGTGGCGGCCGCAGTGACGGGGCAGAATGTGGTTGGACCAGATTTGGTTGGGTGTGTGCGGGCCCCACCTGGAGCATGAAGTAAGCTTGATTTGTAATCTACCATAGAGAATGATCTGGCCACTCCTTCAAAACTAATCCATGCTGTGTAACTGTAGCTGCAAAGAAGACTGATGTGTTTGGGGGGAATGAAACAAGTGTAGTAGTGGTTTTTTGAATCACAATTTATTGGTTAGCTCAAAATGAGGCATATTTTTAAGTCTGTATAATTTTATTTAATACATAACAAGGGAAATAATATACAAGCTGGGGCTAGGTAACTTTCAATGCAAAAGTTTATGATAGAACAGCATGGAAGTTCACAAGGCACCTTTTTCCGGGCGAGCACCATGGCCTCAGATTTGGAGATGATTCTCATCCCAGCCACTTCACACTCAACATTAAACCTTTTTAAAAACAATAAAATTCAAATAATAAAAATGCATCTAACTAGTCCCTCGCTCTCAAAATAATTTAGTTCTTATACTAGTTTTCACATGCATGTATTTTTGCCCTTTGCAAAGTCTTTAGCTCAGCTTTTTTCCAGACAGAAGAGAGAAAAAAGGAGCATGCTCAATCAGCTCAGCCCAAAGTGTCAAGTTTTGACTTACGAGGCTCATTTTTACAAGTCTGCAAAAGATAGAATGTCTTCTAAAACAATGAAAACAGCCTGTTGTGGTCTAATTTACTCACAACAATAATGTATTATTTATATAGTTGAAAATAGATTTGTAATTGTTTTGACTCTGAGTCAGATGAATAGATAATCGTCAAAGCAGTATTGGAAATGCCTAAAACTATTATAATACCAGGCACAGTACCATTACATCTGCTGGTATCTGTATATCACTTGTACTTGTCCCCATATAAAAAGGATCTTCCACCCATGCTGAAGGCTATTATCACAGATCTGATTTGTAAGTCTTATCATTTGGCATTAGACCTTACTGCTCAGATTGACTGGAGGCTGGACAGAATTATTGTTTTTCTTCTAGAGCCAAACATAAGCCGTCTAATCACATGTCTGCGAACTACAGCAGGAGACCAATAGGGAAGATCGCTCAACAAACAGTCCTTTGTCAAGCTGCTTTTCTGAAAAGAAAAGGAACACTTGTGATATTGTGTCATGCCAAATCTGCACATATTAAAATCCTGGGGTGTCTTTGAAAGTGTTTCTACTTTTTGTTGGCAAGACTAAAAGACATTTTTGGTTTTGGCTTTTCTGCCACAATGGACTATTGTTGTTGTCACAGTCTGACTCCCAATGTTTTTTTTGCTGAAATCCTGGCAATTATTAGAACATTTATTTTACAGACACCAAAAATGAGCATCCGCCGTGTAAAAATCCTTTAATTGAGGTGTTTGCAAGGAGCTGTTTCGACACAGGACCAGCCAAGCGGTGCCTACATACCAGGGGAGTGAGCCCGACCACAAGCTCAGTCGCTCTTGCTTCACACTCTGCCACGGCTCTCCCAATGTGGGCAGCTGTCGAACTATTGTCAAAGCTTCCATATCTTGCACAACAAAGCACCCTGCCCAGAGACGTTAGATTCTCATTAGCAATATAAAAACCAGACGTCGCTGGAGTAGGATTCTAGCATATTTAATTTGGCTGTGTGTAAATATGCACAATTTACACACGGCCAAAGTGTCCAAATTATACTTTTCTATTTTAGACGCATGTATGCAGTTGATCAGCAAACACAAAGTAGGCATTTAGTGGCTCTTTGAATAATAAACATGATATATAATAAACACGTTGCTTTTGGACATTTAGAAGATATCCTGCCCTATCCCTATTCTACCACCAGGGGGCGTGTAATGTGTTTTTTTTTTTTCAAATATGAAAATGACCAGCTGCAAACACAGCCATGTGATTGCAAAGAAAGTAATTTCATTGCTAAACTTTCCAAGACAGTACTTCTGTTTTAAAAATCAGGAAACTGCTTTGAGTGTGACGTCATAGTGGTACAATGTCATCATAAACTTAAATACATGTCATGGTGTGGATTTGACTTATTTTGACTTAATTTCTTTGTGGTTGTAGTTTAGTTTTGCTTCATTTCCTGTTCCCCTGTTGATGGTCTCTCTGTGTCCATATAATCTGTATGTCCTCTCCCCTTGTTGCTGGTCCATTGTTTTTGTTTTGACTGTTCTTCTGGTTCCTGTGTTTCATTTGGATTTTTGAGTAGTTTTTCTCTGGACTTTAATTTAATCGTCTTCATTAAATCCTCTTTAGGCATTCATTTTTTCATCCTTCCTTCATCTCACCTCATGACAATATGTCTCCTTTAACAGTCTATGCAGATGTTACCGTTTGTGTTGAAGCTAATTCTGCAGCCGTTCTATGCACAGAGTTGAGTAGTTTTATTCTATAGAGTTTACAATCTAATTAAACATAGTCTTATAATGTACGTGATGTATGGTCACGCATGCATCTACTTTTGTTTTAGTGTTTTACATCGTCGTGCTCAGGGACTACAGGTGTACATGAGCTCTCCTGCTACAATGCATCTCTCCCTGCAAGAGATAAAAATTACAATATTGATCCAACACTTTCCATTTCTGTAAATTAATGTGAAATTTGTTATAATTTTGATTTGAGTATGGCTTACAGATCATTTTTGTTAATACTTTGGGGTTTTTTAAAAGCTTTGAGCCATAACTATAAACATGGAAACGATTAAAGGCTTGATATATCTTTGTGTAATGGGCTTTTGAAAAATATTCAAATTATTAGCTGCATTTTAAAGTCTTTCTATTAAGATTTACGTCACATGCGTACTTTATAACCTCATTTATTGTCACGCCTTACAACACAATGAGTCACTTAAATTTGATTTCCGCTTCAACGAGTAATGCTTTGTTTATCAAGACAATTATACACCATGTACTCCGCAGACCAGAAACGAGAACGGTGATGCCAAAGTACATATTCATGGGTGGAAACACAAAATGTTATTCATGCTGTAATTAATTTCTACGCTTAGATGTTTGGAGAATAAAAGTGTGGGAGAATCCGCACGTTGCCAATCAGCATTTTGATTCCCATTTCATTTTCGGCACAATTCAGTTCAGTCAAGACAGTGTGGAGGGATGTGTCTTTGTTGTTGGATTCTCTTAGCAACTGGTCCAAAGACGGCACATTGTTAACTGTTATGGACAAGAGATGGAGGACACTGTGCTGGATAGTTCAAAAGAAAAAGGACTATTAATGGGTTAAACATGTATAGGCCTAAGATGTGTGCGTCTGTCTCTGTGTGTGTGTGTGTGTGTGTGTGTGTGTGTGTCTGTATGTCTTTCCCTCTCTCACAGGTCCATTCTAGTATATGCATGTAATATGTTGAGTATGAGTGGTTCCCATTGTCCACAATACTGCTACTAAACTGAACTGCAGGAGCAATAAAAAACATAATAAAATACAAAAGAAACAAAGAGAAAGCGCGCAGGAAAGGCTGGACATTCGACAGGAAACAAGTGTGTGTGTTTGTGTGAGAAAGTTCAAGGAAAAAAATCATAATAACAGTTAACAGTGCTGGGTTATCTGCTGAATCCCATGAATAGCTCTAAATCCTCAATCTGCAACAATCATGGCTTTACTGCCCTGGCACAGACGCCTGGTGGACGTTATATATTTCTATAATAACTAACCTCCAACAGCTCATGTCGTGAGTCAAATATACCTTCTCCATTTACACTGAACAAAAGCTAAATTCCTCATATACACAAACGCTCTGCAATACTTGTTTCCATGGTTACCAGCCAAAGGTTTTCATTCTTGATCTCCACATTACTACATACGCTTCCCCATTCTTACTCACATTTTTTTTCCTTCCTCTTTCTGACGCGCCCCTCCTGCCCCCTTTTCCTTGTGCCACCCCTGTGTTTACACCTCCGCCCCCTGTGTAGCCTTGGACGCTCAATGAAATCCAGATTCCAGACCGTGCTCACGCTCTACTGTCTAAAGAAAACAATTCCCAGCTGTAGCTAGGCAACTCCAATATGAGTCACCGCCGCGCCCGTTTCGAACTGATCATCCTCCACCTCGCCCAGCGTCACAATCCTGCTCAAACTGAAGCTGCTGCCCACAATCCTTCTCCCTCTGGTGCCTCCAACAGATGCTGCCCTTCATCTGGATCATATACCTGTAACTGGCCACAGATAACATACCCCCACTGTGATCAAGGAGCTGGGCACTATCACATATTGGCAAGGCCAGGTTTATGTCAATTCATTATTGTCATCATCAAATCACAGTTAAATAAATGTTTGTATGGAACATGATGTGTATTTTATTATTAGATCTACAAGAAAGTTTTAAAATGTCTGTATTTATCAAAGCCGCACCATTAAATCGTAATATACTTCATGTTTTCTGCAAGGACAAAACACCCCTGTAGATCATTCTGCTACCTCCAACAATGACAATAATAAGTGTTAAATCTATATTTATGTTTAAACAGATGTGTTTATTTGGTGCATGGTATTCAACACTGCTCTTAGCCATGTAAAACAACACATCAGAGTAGAATATTGTAGCTAAATGTGGCCACTCTACTCAGTATTGGTGCATATGAGGTCAAAATTCAGAGAGCCCAAATCAAACTAAAAGCATGTGTTATGTCATGCTTTGTTGCCATCTAGCGGCTGTGGATAAAATTACATTGATGTCGGATTCATTATCTTTTTGCAGCGTGGTACTCGTAGTAATTTACCAAAATAAAACTCGCATCTTCCTATGAGCATATGCTAACATCCTCCCCTCATTAGGCGCTAGCACCTGCTGCAGAGCCCTGATGAGGCAGCAGGTGCGCCCCCACATAAAAGGCCTGCTAGTGCGCATGCTCGTGCTGTCTCGCGCGCAGCTAATATTTACTATGAATTGGAATTCAAAAACGTATCACTTTTTTGTGGTTGTCATCTACACCATTGTAACAGTTCAGTTTCAGTCAGGGGCCTGTGATCCTGTGGGTTACTCACGACCACCGGAGCAGCTCGGGGTCCATCATGGTCACAGGGAAAGTGCTCGGGCGGGGAGCTTTGCAGTGAGGCCGCTGCTTTTAGGCCCGAAGGAAACCCGCCCCAAGTTCACAAACATAAAACAAACGTCAACAAAAGGTACAGCGGCGTCAACGCTCACACCTGTGATTGCGTCTTCAATGGATCAGTATCGAATCAATCCGTCGAGTTACGGTGAAACAAACTGCTTCAGAGGACAAGTCAAACATATTGAGTATGGGAGATTTGACTTCTCCGGTTCAGGTAAGCCCAGCAGCACTAACACCTAATGATCTATTGGGATAAGTAATGCATGTACATGGCAATAAGTGTTTTTGTTTTTTGTTTAATGTCACTTACGTTGATCCGTGGTTTCCTTTGTAGACGTCCAGGCTCATGGCGCAGAGCTGCGGCCTGTGGTGGTCTGTGCAGAGGACTCTATGACCCTCACTGTGAGGAGGACCAGAGCTGGGCAGCTCCGGGTCAGCACAGGTGATTTTTCAATTAGGGCTGTAACAAGTTGACAAATTTATCCCACCGAGTCGGTTATTAAAATGGTTTATTATTATTATTATTATTATTTATTATATAGACGTGAACATGTTGAGACTCACCCAGTGTGTGTGTCCGTCCTCCTGGGGCATCACTTCATTACCAACTTTTTACTGGTCAAATATATTTCAAAAATACTACAGACCTTTTCTGGATCCAAACAATCGATTATCAAAACATTGTTAATTACAGCCCAACTTTTGATACAACCATCACCCACTGTTTGATTTATGACTTTGTAGGAAATGATTCGTCTCTTGATCTGTCAAAGTTGCCGCCGCAGTGTGGATTCTCCATTTACAAAAGTTTGAGAGAAGTGTCCATAACTGTTAAGTACAACGGCTGCCTTGTCACAGTGCAGGTAATTTATACTTTATCTGTCATTAATCACCGGCATTAGGCTTTAGTTATGTGTATGTAGTCACTATTAAATCTTCCATTTCAGAACAGTCGTCATTGGTTGCCTTTGCGGTGGCGGAGGACTCCAGTGAGGATGTCATGTCCATTGTCTCCAAAGAAGTCCCGCGCGTTGGCCGACCTCTCCAGCTGCTGCTCCCCTTCTGATCTAACTGTCCACATTCAGGGCTCCTCTCTATTCAAGGAGCCCAGTGTAAATGGTAAATGGCACACTGCACCCTTTTTTCCATCAGTGTTTCTCTTTTTCTTTGTCCCTTCAGTTCGAGGTGAGTGGACTCCCCTTTTGGAGTTGGTTCAGCACTGTGGATATAGATTAAACGGCAGAGAAGCAGAGATTGTGATCACGGTGCCATTTCTCGCATGTGGAATCACATCAAGGGTAAATATGAAAGGTTTAGTGTGCTTGATTTTTGTGCTGATAATCTTTAATTGTCATTTATGGATATTTTAAATGTTATATTTTCACAGGAAGGACATCATGCACTTTTTCTTAAAATAATAGAGGATGTATTTATGTTCACATGTCCCATATCTTCAGCCAAAAAGTCACAATCGAATATAGTTTCTCAATCTGTTCCTACTAAAACTGACCTTGTGCCCAAAAACCTGAAGCCGAATCAATGGGCACCACCATTTTACCTGGCCCCGCCCCTTTATCCTCACCCTACACGCAACCACAGGGCTCGTGTCCTGGGCAGTATGCCGGCCACTCCTACCATGGCCACATATGAATTGCCACATAAAACTCCACTGCAGGCTGTACGTAATGACCATCCACGCCCATCTGAGGAGAACCCCAACATGCGGACATCCCTGGGAGATTCAGCTCGCTTTTCTCACCAGTTCAAAGATGCTTTGTCAGTGAACAATCATCCAGCTCCCACAAAGACCTCCATTCCTTCTGTGCAACCTCACTATGTTTTCCATCCGTACTACCGCTATTACCACCTTCCTAAAATCCCACAGAGAGACTGGTCCCTGAATACTGCCTCTGCTACAGAATCTTACCACTCCACCGATCTGAGGAAATACAGCGTGGAGCACCACAACAGGAGGATGACTCCACCTTCGACTGAAGGTACTTTTGCGCCAGTGACTGCCTCTGAAAACCGGCCTTTTCTGCCACACATGTACTACCCCCTGGCCTATAACCCCTACCATTTAAACGATGGTCCTCAAAGTGAAAGCCATCAGTTTACAGCTTCCACTTCTCCACCACAAATGACGGCCCCTATTTTTCCAAGTGAAGACGCGGTGCATATGTTTGGTTCAGTCTCTCAGTCTGAAGATCCTCAGCCGTTTGCACCAGCACATGATGCAGATGAAGCAAATCTGCTTAATAAAAAAGACTCTCCTTCACATGTGGACTTCCTCATGAAAGAGTGGTTCAATCAGGTCACTTCAGTGACCTATGGTGTAGTTCCACCCATTCTACCGACGTCTGGAGGATCTCTGGATTCTCTTGAAGCCAATATGCAAGGTAACTTTGAAAATAGGGTTGGCTTCATTAGGAGAGCCTTTTATTTTGTTTGGTAATCTAACTCTCCTTCTGGTCATGCAGACTGTTGTGTCTCAAACTATGGTTCCTTATGATGTCAGTTTATCAGAAAATAAATGTTTTTCTCAAGTCCTCGAAGTAGGGTTTGTAATGACTGGTGATGGACAAAAAGAGCTGAATAATTACTTGATACAGAGTTGGAGACTTTCCTTACAATTTTGGTGTTAATAGCTTTTTATTTTTATTTTTACTAAGAGATCCTTTTATTTGTCCCACAGTGGTCACATGTCAGTGCTGCATCACAAGTGACAGAACAGTAGGAATGAGGAGCACATGATAAATTAATATTAACAACTCTATACTGTAGGCAAATTAAATCTCTAACTCTAGCATAAAAAGCAGTTTAAAATCACTATCTTTAACATGAGGAAAGTAGTCTTAGTTCTTCATCATGCGAAAGTTGTAGATTTTAAGTACAAAAACCCCTGACTTTAGCATGATAAGGAGCAAGTATAAAATGCTGTGTAGTGAAAAGTAATATATTATAATATTGGGATTTAAAATAAACAGTTTAGTTGCAGACCAATAAACCATAATCGTTCTTGTTTAAAGCTATTCCTTACCTACAAGTTCCTTGATGGCTGTCTTTAGGACTAGTTGAATTGTGCCACTAGAGGGTGCATTTGTCCTTCTACTGTACACTACTGAGATGCATGGTTACAAAGCTAAAGATAAAACTCTCCCTACCTGTTCACAGATCAGTCTGGTGCCCGTGCTGCTCCGCTCGCTGCCACGCCCCGTTGCCCTGGCACCGGCTCACGTTTCCACTGCTCTGTCGCTTATAGCTGCTTTGCTTTGCTGGAGAAGGGTGAGGTTCTCAAACTAATCCTGTTCACACATGCCCAAAATGGACTGTGAACTGATGGAACACTCCCAAATGTCCTTGTTTGTATGTTGTGAAAATGAACCTTGTTTCTACAGATTGCATTTTGGAAGCGTATCTTTTGTTTACTTTACCAAAGTTTGTGGTTGACCCAAAAGTGTTGCACCCTGATCACTATGAAGAGGCAGATGAAGTGTCCTGTGCGATTGGCCGACTGACCTCCAGTCCACAAGTGTTCTTTGTTCCCCTAAAGGGCTGTGGCATCAAAAAACAAGTATGCTCACACCTTCAAGTTAAGTCTTGTTTATTTTCTGCCTGACACATATTTTAAAACTTTACTAGGTCATTGACGCATTGATTGTTTATCGCCTAGAACTTGAAACCCGTGTCTCTGACGATTCGTTGAGGTTGGTAAAGACCACTTCCTTTCACTCGCAGCCCAAAGTTTGCACATGTTTCATAATAATTGTAATTGGTTTATCAGTGCACAATAACCCACAAAGACACACATTTTCGTTTTTGTTCAGTCAAGCATTCACTCATTTTGTTCAGAAAAATCAAACTCTGCTTGAATAAAAATATCAACATTAATACAAAAGTATATAATTCTAAATGACCCAGGTCTGGTAAAGTTGAGAAAAGTCAAATTCAGCAAAAAAAATAGATTAATGAGGACCTGAGGATAGGATAGGGGATTTAACTGCCTTCAAAAAAAAAAAAAAAGTAAACCAGTGGTTCTCAAATGCTCAGACACATGCCAAATCAATAACATTATTGGGCCTATTATATAAAATAAACCTTTTAGAATTTGAAGTTTATAGTCTTGCTTAGTATCTTGTCTCCCACTTTGAGATCCACTGCCTAAAACTAAACTATTAATGTCTGCATCTTTGTGATTTAACATGTGTGGGCGTGTACCTCCAGGATGATGGTGGAGTGTAGTCTATGTCCTGGATTACTCGGGGAACAGACTCTCTCTCCACTGGAGCCATTGCCCTCACTGAGCACTGCTGCCGTCCCTGTGCGCATGAGGGTAGCAACAGGTAATCTCTCTGCAGTTTGAATGTGTGGTTTGTGTTTATGTTCTGCTCCGCTCTAGACAAGTCTGTGAGCTTCCTCCCTGAGCCCCATGCTGCCTTGAGCACGATACAAGGCAGACTGGTGTTTCTGGAGCTCAGCCTGCATCCTCCAGACCTCGATGTGGTGCTGTTGGTCCACTACTGTCTGGCCTATACTTTAACCCCGTATTCCAGTGCAATGCTTGTTTATGATTGGTGGGTTTGCTACTTGTAAATGTTAACACGATCTTGGATGTTTTGGTTTATTTGTACATTTTCTGTCATGCAGTTGTCCATCTGGAGGGGATCTGCAGCCTCCAACATTGATCTATCCAAACACTCACTATATCATGGTCACCAGTTTCCTGTCCCCAACTTCCCCAAGTCCTTTGAGCATACATGATGCAGACCCAGAGGTAGGAAGACTCTTCACTATGTGACCAAACAGTTTCTGTTCCCTCTTCTTCCCTACAGGTTTACTTCTATTGCTTTGTTGAGGTGTGCTCTGCGTTACACGGTGTCTGCGCTGAGGGGTGCGTCAATTGTAAGTTTTAACAGAAGTTTAATGAATGTCTGTTCACTGAACGTCAATCGACCCTGCCATACTCTTGTTGTTTTAGGCCCTGATTGAGGATGCCTACCAATGATTTAAAAATAAAAATGATCATGTCTATAATCACAGCAATTCCCTGACTCCAGCTTGTTTTATGGGAAAATGTTGTAAACATAATACATATTATTGCTGTCAGATGTAATTATTAACAAAAACACAAAAATTTTACATGGATATTTAATTACACACAGAGGCACATACAGGTGAATAAGGCGTGCACAGAAACCCCACTTATTCTTGCAGTCTACTGTAAGCTAAGTATTGAGACCCAAAATGAAGAAAGCTTGGAGACAAAAAACCCGCCTAGAGTTAACTTTGCTTTTAGCTTTTCTGATTTTAAGAAAACAGTTACCTGACATGTTTCAGTGGTCTGGCTTCATTGCACTAAGTAATCCATTATGTTTACATTTAAACTATACGTTTGTAACATGAAGCAGGAATTGTAAAAATGCAGCCAGTCCAAAGGACTCATCCTGCAAATGAACTACCCTTATGATTCTGAACATACATCAGGATATTTGAGTGACCTTATGCTGCACAGTAACTTCTTTCTATAATAATCATTGAAAATACAATATCATGGAATGCAGTTCTTAAAAATTGTTTGTTTAAAAAAAAATTGAAATCAAAGACCCCTTTCCTTAGTCCCCACATTCTCTTTTCAGAAGATTCAAACCTCCTGAAAGGAGCAGTAATAGTCCTGCGAATTAATAGAATTACTATTGCAACAACACATCATCAGTAGGGTAAAACTAACCTGTCTCACGACGGTCTAAACCCAGCTCACTCTCCCCATTAGTGGGTGAACAATCCAACGCTTGGTGAATTCTGCTTCACAATGATAGGAAGAGCCGACATGCGTCGCAGAGTGCTGTGTCGCAGCTACTGATGTTGTGGCCTCTGTCCCCTGTTGTGGAGCGTGTGTTTTATATACATAATCATAGAGGACGATACAACTGCTTAAAATTGTCTTAGTAGATGGTGATTGATCCAGGAAGTGAAGAACATGCATAGGCCTGTCAAAATAACAAATTTCTTTTGCCAATGATTGTCCCAGAAATGTTTTTGAAAAATGATAATCTTGCGATAAATTTCCACTTAGTAAAGGCCAAATTGCACGCAGGAGCCGCTGTCATTCACTACAAAGCGGCCTCAGTTGAACTGATCAGAACGCCGCTGAAACCTGTTTGAGTACTTTCACGTATTATGCACACTGCGAGGAGCAGGCATGGATGTAACACACGAGACCATGCGTTGGCCGGTAGGCTACTGACAAAGAGCGAACATCCATTCACACAACTGAGGCCAATTTGCCGTCCTCATTTTTAGTTGGCGTGCAATAACTCAATATGTTGTTTTTTTTGACAGCCCTAAACATGCGTCACAAGCACTTTAACTGAATGCAAGTTGCCCTCCCCTTCGCGCAGCGGTTGGAGTGATCACTTCAATGGGGGCATTGGATTAATAAACATACATTTGTCAGATATTGAGATGAAAAGATTTTGTGCCAAGAGCAGCAGGCTTATTTCATGCATTTTGACGCGACTCCAATTTTACTGCTTCAGCCAGAGCAAGCGTTTTACAATAGCAATTGGGGCCACACCCACCGGGCCCAGTCGGGCTTGGGTCAAGATCTTCAGCTCTAGTTTGAACATCGGTCTGTTTGGTCTAGACGGAGGGGAGTGTGTGGGGTTACATTCATTTTAATAGATGTGGGAGTAGTAGGTCTCTACAGCACGGTGGCTTCTCTTGAGGTGTTTGAGGAGGATGATGGAGCACCACCACGCAGTTATCTGTGGTACAGAGAAGGGGTAGGGGTGAAGGGGGGGAAGGATGTGCATGTCTCAGCATTACAGCAGAAGAATGACCCAACATGATGCACTCTGAAAGCCAAACCACAGGCATAAAGACTCATGCAGTGGTGCAGAAAAGCAAATAATATTGCCGGAATGACGTAAACAGTAAGTGAAATAATTTTTATAAATTAAGAAGCAAATAAGAACCACGATTTAGATTTCCTTTGTCGGAAAAGGTCATTTGGACACAAAATGTTCAAATTGTTTTATAACCAATGGCCATGACGGACACATTGGAAACTAGAGTTTAGAAATGCTAATAATAGCAATGTGAATGCAGAATGAGACAAGTGGCTCTCAATTCGGGCGTTCTGCTCTCCCAAAATTCCATCCGATGGGCGGGGGAGCGACTGAATTTTGCGTTGCATTATGGGTAACACTTGCCTTCGCAACTTCCGGTTCTCTCTGCCCGGCGCATTTTCTCTAAATGGTTGAGTGTTTTCGTCATTTTCTGTATGCAAATACATTCCCGTCTCTAACTAGTGGCATATTGCGCAAATCATCCGTCCAATTCACATTCTTCCCTCTTAGCTGAACTTCATTCTCATTGTTACCATCTGTCACTCGCACACACAGCCGTTTTCGTTCACTCTGCTCGCTGTCATCTTCTTCTAAATCTTCATAAACACCATCCGCTCGTTGAACTAGCAACAACAATTCCTCCTTTCGTTTTCCCACACTGCAAATACCCTTTCGCTTCAACCTTTCACGCAATTCAGGCACTGTCAATCGCTTGTTGTTTTCGTGAGCCATATTCGCCATTGTATGAAATCAATCGGAAGTGAACTGGGCAACAAACGGTGTCATTTTTTGATCACAGCGCCGCTCAGTGGATGGAATTTTGGGAGAGCAGAACGCCCGAATTGGGTTGCTAGTTCCAGTGTTGAAATCCAGTTTCAGCACCTGCAGACAACTATTAACCAGCCTGAGCAGCAGCAGCGGCTGATTTTTTTTCTTTTAGAATACCATTTGGTCTATTCTTTCATTTCAATTAACGCTAATAAAAGGAATAGGGTCTGATGTGTTAAAGCTTTTAAAATTAGTGAAGGTAATGAGTGGATTTTGTGCTTATATTTGGGGTCCCTGTCTGAAGAGATTGCTAAGCCCGCTACATGTGGTTAGTTTTAACTTGACTAAGCACTAAATCTACGCACTGTTCCTTTTAAATGCCTGAAATCATAGGATTCATACGATCCAATAAGGTGCCATTTCCCTGCGCGTGTTTAAAAAGCTTGTTACTCTGAAGCATGTGCAGTCGGGATGTTGAGAGTAGTGAGAGGCGTGAAGACTACAGGCTCCTGGTCGGGGGGAGGGTAGGGAGAGGAGGGGGGAAGGAAAGCAGGGTACTGGGGGTTAGCGGAGGGAGCTTGTAGGATTATGTATCGGGGAGATGCTGAAGCCATGCGGATGGACTTAGAAAGTGCCAAGCTGCATATGAAGACAACAATCTACCAGAGATGAGCAGGAAAAAATAAGTGAGTTGGATGCAAATAAGCAAAGAACAGACATGCAACAAAAACGTGGTTATTATGACAGAACATGTATAGCTGCTCTAAAATAAAACATTTTTGTGGGGGAAAAGGGTTTAAAACATAGATTGTGCTCATGTTGTACAAGTCTTAGAGCAGGTGCCAATACAACTCTATAAATAAAAAAATGGTTTCCCAGATGATTGGACTCACAAAGCTGCCATAAATTATGTCGGAAAATTCTACTGGTCTTAATCATCCATCCATCCATCCATTTTCTACCCTTTAATCCATTTCTGGGTCAGGGGGGTGGCAGTCAGAGATGCCACCCAAGTCTCATAGCACCAGCCCCTCACTGACCCTCTGCAGGTGGTGAGTCCACAGGAGGACGGCTGCTCTCTGAGTGTGAGCATAGCCTTGATCTTTCAGTGGGGGCTTTGGGCAAAGTGGGGTTAAGTGTCTTGCCCAAGGACACAACGACAGCAGTCATCAGTGGGAGTCGGAGAAGGTGTAGAGGTGGGAATTGAACCCACGACCTTCAGGCCTGAAGGCCAATGCTCTACCAACTGAGCTACTGTCGCCCCTGTCGTAATCATATTTTTTTTAAATTGTTTTTCACCACTTTTAGAAAATAATTAAACCATTGTTGATGACAAAGACGTGAAACTTGGACAGTTTTTGTTTCTTGTGAATTGACTTAATGAGAAATTGTCTATGAAATAAGTTTGGCTTAAGACAGTTACCATAGTTACCAGGAAATAGCGTCACTTCACCACAATTCTAAAATTAGTCTCTTTGGAATGTTCTCATAACCTGAATGTATTTGGATTATCAGAAATTACTAGATGTTCGCACAAATATGACAGAGTAAAAGAACATTTAAAAACTCCTACCAAAAGGGCCCCGGTTCCAAGAAAGCTGCCCAGCACGAGAGGGGCTCTACCATCGAAGACTGTAGTGATAGTTGAGGGGCACGCCTGTGAAACAACTCATCTGAAACGGCTTGTTTTCAACTACCAGGCAAAACTATAGTCCAGTATAAGTATGGCAAACACTTACAGGCATCTTGAGTCCATCCCAAAATCCTTTTGGAGCTGGGCACGTTTTCTTTGCAAGATCGACAAGAGGGATTCCTGACAATCCGCAGCAGTAAAGCTACAACAAAAGAATTGATGGGGAAAATATTTGCATACAATATAAACATGTGACTATGCCATGATACTGTTAACTGCAGTGTGTACTCCAACACTGACTTATCCTTGAACTAAGTGCAATTATCGCTCCAGAGTGTCACTTTATTATTGTATTATCTTAAATAACACTGGGAAACAAAAACATATTTTTTGAAAATAGTCCAGGGTTTTCCAGCTGAATTAATTTTGATGCTCTGAGTCCGAAAATGACCTTGGTTTTGCTCAATCAGGTCAGGATTTTTTGCTACAGAAATATTTTTTAAAATCGATTTTGGGTAAAAAACTAATTTCTGCGGATCATCAGCTGAGAAACCCTTGACGTTTTTTCAGTTTTCCTCAAGAAATAAAAGTCAACTTATCCAAAGTCATTCCGTTTTTATTTACTCCATCAAATTTGATAAGTAGAATTCATAATAACGTAGACGTACATAATCTGTAACACTATGGCTGTATCTCAAAAGGTTGACCTGATAGAGCAAACTGCATGTGATATTCGGACTCAGAACACCAAAATTAGTCTAAATCAGTTGAGAAACCCTTGACCATTTTTTGGCTGTCAACTTGTGTAATTGATCATGTTTGTATGCAACCTGAGAGCTCTAATTTCCTCATTTTATTCTGCTGTAATATGCACAGCGATTACAATTTCCCCACTGCGGGACAAAATAAAGGCTTCTATTATCTTAAATAAATAAAACCCACATGTTTAGACTGTAGCAGAGAAAGGGGAAATTGTGACTCACCATTTTTTGCAGAAATGTGAGTGTGAGTGCGATGCCTGGGTCTGCGGTGGCCACATACACAGTATACAAGTCGACGTAAAAGTTCGCCATCCAGTCTCCAACCTTAATAATCAAAGAACGCATTAACGCCTTTGAGAAAAACCATCAAAAAGTCTTTCCCCATCCCACAACATACCGCTTTACTGTTGGTGTAGGCCAGCACTCCGATGATGATCTCTGCTCCAGCGAGGATGGCAACAAGGCAAGAGAACTAGAATGGGAGAAAACGCACGCTTAAACAAGAAAAAGTGTATTTCCTGTTGTCAAATATGTGTGACTTTGAGGGTGCAGTGAGGAGTTTATAAAGTCTGAATAGTCTCACCACTTTCAGAGAACCCGTTTTCTCGCTGCACGCGCCATAGTCTCCAAACGAGACCACGATCAGCATCAAGGTCCCCAGCACTATCAGCACGATCACGCCTTTCGAGCACAATACATTATGCCCAATAACATAACTTCTCATTATTATGATTACTCACTGATTACAAATGTGGTCGAGTTGAAATCTTCTATTTGAAAGATCGCTCTTGTGCTGTCGCTGAATCGTAACCACAAACCCAGACACAACATGGCAGCTCCCAGCACCTGCGACGAGAGGAGTTCATTCTCTCAGTTGTGCAGTAGTTTATCTCAGGAAGGGCGTTTCTAATTTACAGTTTATGAAGCTTGTTTTTTCTATACCACACAATTGTAAGATAGCGATTATATTACATTGACTTTTTTTGACTGCGTTTTATTCTTGTTGAAACATGTTGAGCAATCTTCAACTGTCTGGTGTAGAAGTGAAGAAAATAAACTAGTTTCACAAAAAAACAACTTTAGTCTTTCGGGCAATTAAGGTATAGTTTGTTTCCATAGTTATTCTCATTTAATTGTTTTAATTGTTCAATTACTTTAAATTCTCTTTGTTGAATTTATTAAAATCATTTCTGAAAATAAATGTCTCTTTTGGAATTTTTTTTTTTAAATTAAATTAAAACTATATTTATTATTATAATTGAAATACATTTTTTTTATTAGTAGATTCTTAGCTTTAAGAATTGCACTTCTTCTATGGCAGTGTTTTTCATTGTATTGCTTAGCGCATATTGATTGTTTTGTTCCAAAAAATCCAATTTGTTTTATTTTAAATTATAGATGTATTCTCATCCAACCAATTATGGCAGTTAAGGAGTTCTGTGTCAAATAGATCTATGAGCGCGTTCATTTATTTTTACATATGTAAAAAATAAAATGTATTTAACAACGGAGGGTGTGAGGTCAGAGAACACTGTAAATGACTCGACAAACAATTGGATTGGAATGTTGTAGCACATCAAACAAGTGCTATTCAACAGTGCGGCTCGCAACTTGATTCTACACACATTATTTGGGTAAATTACCTAAAAGTAAAACAACCCCGGGTGAGAAGATCAAGTATTGACTGCAAGTTTCTTAAAGCTGGCGTACCTAACTTTAAAACCTTGAAATAACTATAACATCTATACAATTGACGAGCTCCTTTCTCTCAAAACAATAAGTTTCTAGTTTTCACATGAATGTGTTTTTAAGGATGGATTAAGGGGAAGAAGATGGATGGTGTTTTTAAGTCTCTGTCACATCTTTTGATCAGCATGTTGGTGAAAAAGCCAATCAGCATGTACAAGAAATAAGGTTTTCTCCCTTTGTATTCCTCACAGATGGACAAACATCAGTACATTTGAAACGCTCTGAGTGGCCTTGGTCTGGAAAATGCAAGAGATAAATAAATATTACACTATCTTCAAATAAGATAAAGACATTTGTGAATTGTCCACAACATTTTTCTGTTTGTATCTATGAATCAAAACTGCTCGGATCTTCCAGCTTTAAACATGGCTTTTTTGATTTTCTTTGGCAGACATACCGCAAAGATGCAGTCGAATAAGATGATGATATACTTGCACACGAGGCCACATCCGTCCACAGCCATGATGAGGATCTGGATCAGTCTGTGAAGTTAGTCCGGAGATCCATGTTATTACATCGATCTCATATGCGCCAAACCCATTTTGCAGACTACACAACGCATGCGAAGGCTCACCTGTACAGTGTGAGTGTGTAAAGTGGTCCTCTGCTCCCCTGTTTCAAGCTGGCACCTCGTTATCGGACATACAAACAAACACGTAAAAGGCACTGCGCATTTCTTGGCGCTCCCGGCCCGCCCCTCTTTCACCGCTCAGGACGCTCATTGGTCCTTACGGGAGACGGGCAATAGGTCGAGCCAATCAGAGACATTGGGATGGTGGCTTTATCCAGCGGAGAAAACGAAACTTAATTCACTGCACAAAGCCATACTTTAACATCCCGATTTACATGTTCAAGCGAGGGGGATTGGTTGTTTTGGTTGGTTGGTAGGTTGGTTCGTGGTTGGTCTGCCCACATCCGTTTCTCAAGAATAGAAAGCGACTTTTCTGTTTGGCAAACAGGTGTGCCAAAAACCATAAAACAGACAAAACAAAAATCTTTCAATTGCACAACTTAATTTTTAAGTTATGTGATTTTCATACACAAATTCATGGTAGGCTTAGTTTTTCTGCACTTTAAATACACTAAAATAATTAGTTTCTCAGTATTAATTCCTGGTAAGTATTATTCCAATAGTAAAAGTTGACAAGGCTTGTGTTGTTACTTTCAAAACACATATACAAAGATACGTGTAGATGTCACATGATCACATATTTATCTCATATCTGTGTGTTTTGTCTACAGTCTATGGTTTTGTCTTAATAGTTTGAAAAAGAAAATCCACATCTACACAGAAATCATTCACTTCAGAAAAACATCTGCAGTCATAAAAGCACTCGTAGAGCACAGACCTCTCAGGATTTACAAACCAAACTATTTTCCTCAAAACTCGTTGTTATAGTGAAAATAGTGAATCAATTTGAACTAATGTTTTTCAAGAAAAAATAGGGAACTCAGAAACACATATCTGAAAAACTCCAACAGATTTGAGTGAAGAGGGTTCCACTAAAGGCTGAGTGCAAACTCCTTTCTTTTCTGTTTGTGTTCAAAGTCATGTATCATTTTGCTTTCTCGTCCCTTTGAGTTTGTCTTTCAACACCATAAAGGATGAGGATAATAATGTTAAATTATAATAAAATAGTATTACATTGCACAACTTTAGGGACTGATAATACAGTACAGTATGATACAGTACTTTCCAAACAATACAGGTGCACATGTTTTGCTTAGTGCCAAATTAACATAAACTTTACTTCTTAAGTCAGTACAGTACAGTATGATACTGTCTCGGGCTCTGAGGAGCACAGGGACTGGCCTCTTTGATTTTGGTAATTTATAAAATGATACACATTGTTAAAGAGCAGAAACGTTTAGAGCAGTGAGAATAATTATACATAGTACAGACACACACACATGCATATATATATATATATATATATATGCATGTGTGTGTATGTATATATATATATACACACACACCCACACACACACATATTTATACACACACATTTATACACATGCACACACGCAAACACACACACACACACACACACACATCTATACTTACATACAGTATATACATATATATCTATATATAGGGATACTGAAATGATTGTCTTTGGTCCCCAGAAACAAAGAGAGAGCGTCATCTGTCATCTCCAGTCTCTCTCCCTAAAACCTTCAAACAAGAAATCTAGGGGTAATACTCGACTCAGACTTAAATTTTAATAGCCACATCAAATCACTAACATCAGCAACTTTTTACCACCTAAAAAACATTGCCAGGATCAAAAACATAGTGTCTAAAGCAGACTTGGAGATTCTTATCCATGCATTTGTCTCCAGTAGGTTAGACTACTGCAATGGCCTGCTCACAGGTCTGTCCAAACAGGCTGTAAAACAGCTGCAGTACATTCAAAATGCAGCAGCTCGAGTCCTGACTAGAACCAGGAAGTACGACCACATTAGTCCAGTTCTCAGGTCTCTGCACTGGCTTCCTGTGGCTCAGAGAATAGACTTTAAAACAGGCCTCGCACCAAAATATATTAGTGACATGTTAGTCCCATATGAACCAGCCCGGACTCTGAGGAGCACAGGGACTGGACTCCTGTTAGTGCCCAGAGTCAGAACTAAACATGGGGAGGCTGCATTTCAGATTCATGCTGCTAAAATCTGGAACAGTCTTCCTGAAGATGTGAGACAGGCTTGACAATGTTTAAAACCAGGTTAAAAACAGTTCTGTTTAGCTGTGCATTTTATATTTATATCCTTCTTTTTAATGTACTAGGATTATTTATGATTTTAATCTTGTTTTGTTCAGCACTTTGAGTTGCCTTTTGTATGAATTGTGCTATACAAATAAACTTGCCTTGCCTACTGCGCCTACTGCGCAGATCCCTCAAGCTCCCAGGGACCCGAGCAGAGGGATAGAAAGGTGTACATATATCAAACCCTGGTGATGACTTCCTGTTACTTAAGAAAGCAGTAAAAACAATTATCATTCTACCATTGTAACTTTGAGACTTTATACAAACAAAATATATTCACTCTCACAAATAAGATGCTGCATTGAAGTTCACAAGTTCCAGACATTGTGAACTTCAATGCAGCATAAGGCTGTTGGCGCATGCAATTATTATTTTAGAACTCAATCTTTAATGTAGATATCACATAACATAAAAAAGCAATTTGGCTGATTCCTAAAAGATTGATTGGGCCAAATGGATACTTTTATCCTTTCATTACATTTAATATTGATAGGGGCTCAGTTGGTAGAGCATTGGCCTTAGAGCCTGAAGGTCGTGGATCACGACTCCCACTGATGACTGTTGTCGTTGTTTCCTTGGGCAAGACACTTAACCCCACTTTGCCTGAAGCCCCCGCGGAAAGATCTCAGCTCCTGTGGACTCACCACCTGCAGGAGGATCAGTGAGGGGCTGGTGCTCTGTGTACTGGGTGCAGCTCTGACTGCCACCCCCCCGACCCAGAAATGGATTAAGGGGAAAAAAATGGATGGATGGATGGATGATTTGTATAATGCCTTCCCGATTCTGAACTTGATTTGTCCAAACATTGATGTATTTTGATAACTAGCCTAATTACACAGCGTTGTTCTTATATGGATTTCTACTATATGTCAGCAGAGGGCGCTAAAGGATCACACATGAGCATGGACGTGGTGAGAAGCTACAGTCTGCCAAATGTGGAGAATGAGCTTCTTCTGACCATGTTTATGGTTTGATCTTTGTCAAAGTTTCCTTAGATGTTCAAGGTATACACACACATACACGTTGGATTACTATGCTACAAGTTTTAGCGTGTTTATAATTATGGGTCTCCAAATAGTTCACTTTACTAAATTGTACGCCACCGTTTTACCTCCACCAGAGGTATGTAATCACCAGGGTTTGATTGTTTGTGAGGGAGTGACACAACTCAAAATGTTATGGTAGGACTTTACTGTGCCAAGGGACGAATGGTGACAATTTTGAGGCAGTGCGTATCACCGGCTGGATCCATGTTTTCATTAAAGGAACTGAGATGCGCTTCTTGGCGGACTACTGCGCTTTACGGGTGCTTTTCTTGTTTTTTGTGTGTGCATACATTGTCACTGTAAGATAAGACAGGGTTTACAAATGTTGGACATGCTATTAAAATTAAGTTGCTTCTGTAGATTTTCATGTGTGTTTTAGTCAGTGGGGAAGGGTGTAATCCCGACCGATGGTGGTTACAATTGAAATCCAAAACTAAAGTGAGTGAAGAAAAGGTGGGGGACGGAGACGGCGCCTGGAGGTGTGGTGATTTAGGAAAATAAGGAGAGAGGACAGACCCTGGGCCAGCCCCCCTCACTCCTGTCCACTCGCTCGTAACCCGTGTCCGTGGACAGATCTGACCGTGGATCAGTCGTGCGCAAACTCCACACTCCACCAACTGGGACCGAGAACAGAGGAAGCCGAAGCCAGGTCCACACGCCAAGACACGGAGCGGACTGAGAGAAAGGACTGAAGCAGAGGATCAACAACACGGGCTGAGGACACGCCAGCTGCGGAAGGACAAAGGGCTGCGCGCTGCACATTTCCAACATTTTCCATTATTGGCAGCGGGGCGTGTGCTCCCTGAGCCACATTTATAAAAGGAGCTAGCGGAATGTAATGCTAACGGGCTAGCTAATGTTAGCTGGCTAATTAGCTTGTCAGGCATCCAGGAGTCAGGCGTGTGATCTTTACTGAAATAGCTCTGTTTGGAATTCTCCACTTTCCAGATTTGGTGCGTGTATTACACCATTCACCATTCAAACCGGTACTATGTCCTGGTTTCAATAAGCAAATGGAAACTTTAACAAGGAGTAAATGCTGCCAGTAATAACATATTTTTAGAGCCTTTTGTGCACGTTTTTGGGGAAACAGTTTTTTTATTTTGAGTTGTGGACTATTACAAAGGAACGTGAAGAAAATACATTTTGACTGGAGACTGCCGTCCAATGTTAATGTCGACCGACGTTGCATCTTTAATGCTTCCCGTCAGTCGGGGAATAATGGATCGGGAGAGGGACATTGATACTGCGGCTGGAGCCCATGCGAGCGCCCCTGGGGTCCCAGTGCGAGGCATGAAGAGGGGAGACCCCGAGCCTGACGCGCAGACAGCCGCTGCCCTCACTGACCTGACCGCGGCAGAGTGCAAGAGAGCCAGGATAGATCCAGGCACAGGGGCTGTTGTTGGAGACATAGGGCAGGTGAGTGAATGATACACGCGTCACGGTGCAAGTATCTTTTGTCCTCTTTCAGTGTTGTCTATTTAGATCACTGAGCATTTGCAATGTTTTGCTAGACTTATTTGTCTCATCAACAATATGCTTCTGCATTATTGCAGTTCAAGCTTTATCATGCATAGTACTGGCAAAGTGCGTTCTAAGAATGAGTGCTTAATAGTGTAATAACTGAGGAGAAAACAGTCTACAGCAAGCCAGACAAAGGTAACACGATACAGCCTCCATGGCAATGACAGGCAGCAGCACAGAAAAGATCAGAGGCATTCATCATGCCAGTCTGTATGGCGAGTACCCCAATCCACTGTCACATGTGGCAGAGCTGCAGCTCTAGGTCTATCAAGAATTAGAAAATAATTTCCGTATGTTGTGCTTATTTGGTGCAAGTCACCCTTCAAATCTGGACACACCGCATATGCTCTTAATCACTGGGTACCCTTCTGATTATCGCTAGGTGTTAAGAGAGAGGGAGACAGGGTGGGGGAGGGTCACCGCTGTGTAAGACAAAGACCAGAGTCTTTTGGGCAAAAGCAGAATAGAGAGGTACATGCCTAATCCCAGAAGTGCTGAAGCAGCGTTATCTGTCCAGTCTATGTATTTTACTGTAAATCAGACTGGAACAGAGTGCACCTCTCATGTTTGCGCTCTGCAATTCTCCTCCTGTTTATGTCTGTCTCATTCCCATAAACACAAGCATCATGCAAACTCCTCCTCACATATGCTTTCATAAGCCAGCTGCTACATTGTGTTAAGTTAAAGGCAACCCTACAAACTGTAGTAGATGGCAGAGCCACTGGGGCAGGCTCTGGGTAACCTGGATGTAATTGAATCCTGGGGAGCTACTGAAATGTTTTAATTGGTTGTGCTGCAGCAGAACCAAACATGTGCTGTATAATGTCGCTGCGCTGATAACTTCAATGGATGTACATCATGGGGAAAGATTATAGCCTGCCAACAAAGATGATATGACGATGAGCAGAGCAGTGTGGGGACCATTCCCACTGCCCATCAGTTGTATTGATTACTTAACAGTGGTGTGTGGAGGGCTGGAAACAGGACAGGGCTGAGCTGGAGGCATGATGGATGGTTGGACAGCAAGGCACACTTTGATCAAACAAAACATACAGGCAGATCTGCTTTGAGGGAAACAAACTCCACAATTATAACAGAGCGCTTCGTTTTAGACTCTCACTATCAGTATAAACGAGGCAGTGAATTGGTAATTTTGCAATGGTATAATTCCATTTACTCAATTTATTTTTTTGTCCCTTGTGCTAACTGTGAGCTTCTCATACTCGTACTGGCGGACGCCCGTCTCTTCATTTACATGCATTAATTTTGTCTGTAATCTTCCACAATATGGCATAAAACATGTTGCAAGGAAATATCGAAAGTGTCTTTATTTCAATGGAATTATGCATAAAATTTTACATCTGTAGAAATGTATGCACTGCTTTTTTTTTACTTTTTTTACCATTGTGATATTGTGTAATTGTTGTCAGCAAGATGACTTCATGTCATGTGTCGGATGGATGGACAGGTCAAAAAGGATAACGGTAAGGATAAGTGGGTCAGGGAGGTGGGTCCATTAGGCCTGGAGCATTAGGAATCCTGATGAAGCAGAGCTGGCTGACAGGGATGTAGCTATCAACATTTCGTGGCATGTAACAATATCGATATTGATCTTGCGGTACAATATTTATTGTGATTTTGTGGAGAGGCTCATAGTCTTTTGAAGTGGCTCACAATATTGTGGTTATGGTGATTTAAAGGACAACTCACCCTCAAATCCACTTTTTTTTGCTGATAAACGGTATAAATGAGTGTCCAATAGTGTTGTCTACATATCCTGGTCATAATCTTGTCACTTTGGTGAAAATTAGTTGAAAGTTAGACTTTCTGCCTAAAACCGTCTGTGAGGCGCCATCTGCTGGCGACCTGTATTACTACATTTGAATTTTGAATCTGGCGCCAACACTGGCACAGAAGTTGGACCTGACGTCTGCAAGTTGGACCTGACGTCAGCAGCCCCCCGCCCAGAGCAATGTAAACTGCCCAGTCTCGTTCACGCCCCCTTTAGTCCTCCAGGCTACGCCCATTTAGAGGAAGATTTGAACAGGAAATGTGAGTAACGTAAGCTCCGAGGAGTGGGGGTGAGAACCACTTTAAAAAAAATACATTTAATCTGCATTTCCCCTTTACGGCTATATTTATGGCAACATAAACACTGGTCACGTTGTGCTTTTAAAATCAAATTTGAAGTCAACAACAGCACATTGTTTGGTAGCATTTGGTCGCATATCTGATTCTTCTAAATGTGCAATGTCCAAGTTAAGAAGCAACTAGAACTGTAAACATAAATCACTGTGTCCGCTAGGGCTGGGCGATAAAACGATAATGATATGTATCGCGATAGACACGTGTTCGACATCAATAGAAAATTGGGTCAATAGAATGTTCGATAATTTAACTTCACTTAGTCAGAAAAAACGTGAAAAAAAGCCGAGTCAGAAGCGTGCAGCATTCTGGGGATGTATGCAGAGGTTTCTAGACCTATCACGGCCGAGCATGAACCACAAGGCATTCTAGGAATTGCACCAAAAAAAGACGCATCAACAAAGTCGTTGTGTTTGAATGCCGTGTCAATTGTTATGCACTTCCGTGCAGTATAGCATGTGCGGCACGGTAGAGGCAATTGGTATGTGCGGCGCGGTAGAGGTAATGGGTACTCGATACATGCTGCAAAGGCAAGATATTAACTTTTTCATCTGGAAGCACGTGCGGCTGTCAGAGAGCCGCAAAATAAGCGTGCAGCCAGAGACACTGAAAACACTCAAACGGCCAAAACAGGAGCTACACCAGGATTAAACCAGGACTGTTGATGGGAGACACTGTAAATATGTGCTGCTAACGTGTGTTAGCCGACACAACAAATGTATTTATTAAGTATCGATAATTATTGATATCGACCGATATGAATCACTTATATTGTGATATTGTTTTCAGCTATATTGCCCAGCCCTTATGTCTGCGATGTATCTGGTGAACATTTGTCCTTTAAGGTTTTTGACAAGACTTTATAGGAGAGTCTGTAAACTTCACAAATGCTGTCATGTGTGTTGGTGCTTACACACACTCAACAGCAAAGGATCATGTTGTTTACGATGCTTTGTTCTGTGGGTTATTGTTATGCACTGAGACCTGCCCTTTTAATAACACAACCTCGATGATATCGAGACACGTACTGCAATATCGTCAATATTATTATTATAATATTATTATCATTGATATCATTACATCCCTCGTGGCCTGATGGATTAAAGGGGTGCCATGGAGATTAGAGTTCTGTAGATAAGCAGCGGATCTGAATGAATTATGAGGTGGAGTACTCCTCTGACGTCTTACGATGGTAAACAAAAAATGAAATGTCATTCTGGGAAATGTCAGTGTATTTTCCACTATGGGTCTCATGTTTTACTACAGTTTATACAAGCACACGCCGAGGATCTGCAAGATGGATTTGGGGGATGTTCTCATATCTAAATGAGCCTGTTCATTACCATAGCACTCTCATTCAGAGGTGTAGTGGAGGCACTAACCTTCTGACTGTAAATCAGGCTTTTTATAATAAATGTGAGTGCAGCTCTGGGCCTGCTGCCTTTTGTCACTGCTTTCCTCCCCCACTTGTGCTCATACATACATTCATACTCAGGCTGCCTGGACCCCCATTTCTTACCCCTGGTCTCCCCCGGCTGTCCTCTGATTACCCCACCCTGCCCCAGTACGCCCCAGGCTGCTCTCCAGATTGCTAATTGACTCCCAGTTCACAGACAAAGTCTGAGCACCTTCCCCCAACCTTACTAATCATTTTTTGTCTATTTACTATACGGCCTGTTATGTATATGTTGATAGACATAAATATTGATTTTGAAGATTGCAATGAATAACTATTGAAATAAAAGGAATCAAAGGAAAAACTAGACAACTCATTTTCCACTTATCCAGTTAAATAAAATGATAATGATTATGCCTCTTGAACATTTCTTAAGAAATACTATAAATTGCAACAGTTAATTCCTTTTCGTCAGCAACTTTTTAAGGGCTTGGGTTAAAAAAGAAATAATGAAAGCAATCATTTTTAATGTATTGAGTTTCGGCCTTTATCACCGGTGGTGTCCCCCCTGTGATTCTCATTGTCCTTCATACCTCCTGCACCTCTCATCCTACTTTCTGTTTTGATGCGCTCCCTGTGCTGTGGCCACTCTGACTCTTGCTACACTTTCCTACTCTCTCTGTCCATCTCACTCTTCCACAAGAGCCGATTTGTCCTATCGTTGGCAGTAAAGAGGCTTTGTGTTGCACTAACGAGATCAAAGCTCATTTAGCGAAGGGCATTAACTGGCCTGATCGCTTTAACAGGGCCAGAATGGAGGGAGGGGGGCCGGGCCAGGGTGGGGCATATGGTGGCACAGATTATGTGGATACTACAGGTTATTACTGTGTATCAGCTTTATTGGCCAAAATCATTTATTACTGTTATTTCACTTTACTTTTCTCTTGATCCCCAGGGACCAATTGTTAGCTGCTAATGAAAACACCTAACTTTAAGACTAGTCTTTAAGACTAGTCAAATGTGTCATTTTAGTTTATTTTAAGGTATTTTTCTGTCCAGCTGTGCTTGGGCTGGAGCCCTAAGTTTCTCTTTAATAGATACCTAAATAATTCAATATAGTATGGTCCACTGTAGTTGTAATGTGGGTAATCTTAACGTAGAGCCAAGATATTCAAACAACCTCTCTGTTTCACACAATGGTGCAGAGTTAATGATTGCTGTTAATCTTTGAGCTGTGGCCAAGGCGAGTCTCGACTTTTGAACCAGCAGTGATAAGCAAAATATTCCCTTGACGTTGTTGCTTAACTCATTTTCTATGCTTCTTCCGCTGTTGCGCTTTTGCCTCTGTTCACTT